TGAAAAACACTTCATCTTTTTCTTTTAGTGGTGGAATTGTGTGCAAGCAGTATGGGATATGCTTTGTCACATGTGATTGTTTATAAATGACACTCATGTCCCAGGCAGTATTGACTCACAGGAAACAGCAAGATGCTGTGTTTTCCAGCTGCTTGTTCACTCCAACTTGCCCTGGATGCCTCCCAGCTAATCAGAACAATCCCATTATGAAGTTTGAATCCAAGGTTATGTAGCCCTAGACCAGTTATCCAGCAGAAACACCTCAAAAACCAACCCATGGCAGAAAACGAGAGCTTTGCCCACTGCAAGGAAGTGCAACAGCCTAGTACAGTTGTAAGCCAAGGAGAATATTGGTGTTAGACTAGTGTCTTTCATGGGTTCAACAGTGAATGACTAATACAGAACAGAAAAGTGCCTCTAGACATCGTGAAAAGATTCAGAGCGCAATTGCTGTTATGCTTGTTGAATTACCCTGTTGCCTGGAATGTTGTTATCCTCTTCCATGGAATGGAGATGCTGGGGAAAGGTGAGGAGCAATGAAATGGGAAATGCAAGCAGTTTTGTTCTGAAGCTTCCTAATATTTAATGCTGTGCAAAGTTTCTGGTGTAATTTTTTCTCTGAGCTTTGAGATGGTGGCTTTGAGATGCGTGAAGGGGAGTACTTGATTTCAAGGCATCACCAGAAAGCTTTACCAGTCTATGCTGAAGCTGATCTGGTTCATCAGAGCAGCTTATTAATATACAGGTTACTCAGTTGCAAGTAGAAAAAGAATGTTTCCCTGAGGGATATTCACTCACAGATTTCCCATTGTGCCAAGTGGACAATTCTGTCTGTTTATCTTTTTTTCCCCCCTTCAGGCTCTGACTTTATTTTATCTGTTTAAGGAGTTCTTCCTCATCTTAGAACCAATATTTTTTTTAATGCTTTATTCTTTCCACTTCCATTTAGGATCAGTCAGCACCAGAGCTAATTTCATTTCCTTGTGACTTTCTGATGTATAAATGGCAATATGACATAATTTGTAGAAGTAATTCAACAGTTGAGAATCTGGAGTCTTGAATGAAGCTCCTCTGTAGGACCCTGAAGAATAGCTCAGAAGTTCTCTAGCAGCTTCTGAAGTATTAATGAAACCGCCTCTGATTTATTTTATTTTTCCATTCTTCATTTGTATTCATTCTAATGGAGGTGAAACTTGCTTTGGAATAAGGTTATAAAATCAATGCAATTCAAACTAGATGAAAGATTTAAATTAAAAACCAACAACAACAGCAAAAACCAGCTTCTCCCCTACTCCAGGGCATTGTAATAATATATTATTACTGTGTGAGAAGTACTTCTTTAATAACTGGAGAGTTAGAGATACTTTTGAAAGCAAGTGGTTTGATTGACTGAGTATCTCCTAGCAACTTAGGAAGCTTTAAACACAACTGATTGAGTACTGCCTGTGGAATATATTGTCAAGCCAAAGCACCTGCCAAAACCAGATGATGATTCCATTCTTTGAAACACATCAGATAGTAAATACGTAACTCAATATTTTGTCAGCTACCAAAAAGGAATTTGTGTAAGACACGTGACACGATATATAGAAAACTGAATTCCAAATGGCATTCAAGTACTGCAGACCTAAACAGTATGTCTGTGAGGTAGATTTTAAAGTTAATACTGCATGCTTCTATTGAAATGGTGCACTGTTTTATCAAGAAGCTAAACTTGACTTTCTGGTATTTCTTGGTACTTGCCACTTGGCATGCACATTGGCCATGTGAACAAGAAGATATTCTTGCTGGCATTTTATGTGGGCAACCATAGGAAAACTCTACTTGACAAATAAAAGCTTGGGGTTTTTTTATTGGTTGGAGGAAAAATCAAGCCAAAGAATGGTAGTGTCAGCAGAGAGAAGCATGGGGGACTGCAGCTGCTTTTCATATCTCAATCAGCAGCTTAAGATGCTGTTTTATCTCATTGTGTATATTAGTAGGTACCCTACAAAACTAACAGATCTGACTGCCTCATAAATCAATTACACTTCAACTCAAAAGAGCTTCTGGTAAGTGTCAACAGTATATAGTATCAACAATATGCAGTTGCTGATAAGTCTGCAGTAAGAACAACTTGACTTTTCTTGGAGGTAGGAAGCTAAACTCTAGTTTGCATGCTGTCCAGCTGCAGCAGAGTAAATGGAGTTGTCTTGTCAGGCAGTATTTTTATGCTAGTAGGTATGCTTTGGTTGATCTGGTGGTACTGCACAGTATGTCTCCAGGAGAAATAAAGTAAAGGAGAATCACATTTTATTAAGATGACACTAGCCTTTACCATGTAGTTACTGCTAGTGCAAACTAGCAATGCAACTAGCTCACGCACAAGCTATGCACTGAGCATAGCTGCATAATTTGGCCAATGCTGAGAATTTTACTAGCTCACTATACCTGTCATTCAGGACAATTTTTGCCTGGTGCACGGTGAACTGGATAACAAAGAATGATTGCAGTATTTCTTCAGTATGAAAATTTGTGCATAGTTTAATCAATCTCATGCACTGAGCTGTTACATTTTGGGTTTGTCTTGGATTTGCTGTCTGGTAAGATGATTTAATGACTGACTATTGCTTAGTGTCTTAGAGAAAGAGAGGTATTTAGTAAACCATATAAGAATTGAGTAGCTAGGGGATAGTATCATCAACAGGTATGTACTCCACTAGAGATTTTTCTCCATTAAAACCACTGTGAAGAATGACTAGGGAGAGTGGTATGAAGTATGATTGCTTTCATTTCTTTGCCAGATCATTTCATAGAAGGGTGAGTGCTTTCTGAAAATAACTCTGATGACTTTTAAGTTTACAAAAAATGCTTGTGAAACCCCTGAGAAAACTTTGCATGTTTTTGTGCTGTTTTCATGATGTTTATGTGACAAACATTTAGCTGAAACATTAGGCACCTTTCAGTTTCAGTTGGACAACTTGCTTGGAAATATGTGATCTGCATGTATCTTTACAAATGCATGCTTACTAACTTGCTCTGGTCGCCTTGCACATTCATCTGCTGCCTTCCAGTTTTAGCACACTTTGAAAGTTTGTATTTCCTATTGCCGTCAGTGAGTCTTCAAAAGCTCTGTCTGAAGAGGGCACTAAAATGTTCCAGTGTTAGGTGCTGGAGCCTGAGGCAAAACGGTATCTGTGGAGGCATGGGTGGAAAGCCAGGACCAGGTTACCAGATGTAGAATGCGTGTGCTCCACTGAGCTGTGCTAGCAGAGATCCTCCTGCCTCCTTAGCTCTGCACTAGTACATCTCCATCTGCTTGGGTACCACAAAACGTGTCTGCCACAGTGTTTGATCACCGTAAGAGTTTGCTGCCTCTTGTGTGTCACTTGCCCTGGGAGGGTAAAGCCAGGGCCAAGAGGACAGGGAGCAGGGAAGCCTGAACGGGCTGTCCGCTTCTCAGTGCCCTCTCCCTCCTTCAGATCACTCCCCTCTGCCCATATAGACACAGGGGAAAGGGACTGCTCCGTCTGAGCAGACCAAGGCAGAACAAGAAAGAGCTATTGCTGAGACAACATGCAGTGTAAGTTCCATGTATGTTGGGTCTGTGGAGCTGAGTGCACTCCAGGCAGTTTGCAGCAAGTGGTTAAGTACAGATGTGTGATTTTCACTGCCAGCCATCGTGGGCTGACCTGTCTTTGGGAGTCCTTCTGTGTGCATAAAATGCACTTTGGGCAAGTAAGCATTTCTGTGGTCATACGGTGGGTGTCTGCATTTCCATCACCTATAGTATTGTCTTTAACTTGTATTAATTAGAAGTGGCAAAAGCTTTGAACGGTGTTTTATGGCATTCAAGATAAGACTTTAATATTAAATTCATTTTTGCACAGTTCTATTAAGCCTTTTTTTTCCTGGTAGCCCTTTTTTTTTTTTTTTTTTTTTTTTTTTTTCCAAATAAAAAAGAAGGCAAACATCTTGCTAAAGACAGGTTTTTAAAGGAGAGATAAAATCCTATATTCTGAGTGTGAGTTTTCCGGCATCTTGGTATGCGTTAGAAGGGGCCCAGAGCTGCCTGCAGTAAGAACAGATTGCTTCATTTACTCTTGTGCTGTTGCTGTGTGAGTTAGAATCATAGGGAAATTTTTGATGTAAAATTTGTTTCTATGATATAATATTTCTTTCTGAGATCTGGATAGAATAAGATACAGTGATACGGGAAAAATACTGTCTTAGCTAATGCTGGTTTCTCTCTATACTTCTGCTTCACTGCCATCCATTCACCCAATTTGAAATAAATGTGTAGGCCTTGAATATCCAAAACAGTGGGTTGCATTCTGTGTGTACTTTTGTGAAGTTATGTGCATCAGGTTTTTTTTTTCTTTTGCCTGTTCCATTAGTTTAATTACATGTTATATAGAATCTCTTGGGAAAAAAAAAAAAAAAGGACAGATTTCTTCTGGATGTGGCTTCACACAGGCCTGTCTGTGCCATTGAAGTGGCCAGTGGAAAGAAAAGCAAGCTGCTGTGATCCGCTTACACACAGAGACAGATTAAAACCATATATTATTTATATTTATATTTACTTACAGTGTATTTTTATTTTTAAAGAAGAATTATGCACTAGTTATTAAAATATGAGCACTTTAGCAAATTTTTATATTTGAATACTCAGGATGGCTTGTTTAATGCAGGAGTCAACATAAGCATCTAAAACCATGGTTTGGATATCCTGCTTTGCCTCTGAAATTCCCTAATTAATTCATTTCTAGAAGCTGGGAGGAGATAGCTGGGGAGTAATTGTTTTCAGTCATCTGATTTATAAAGCCATTAGCCATTACAGACTTTTTTGCTTGAGAAGTGTGATGGTTCAAATCAGTGACTCCTGGCAAACTCCAAAAAAGTATTTTTATTTGCAGTACTAGGGAACATTCGAATCTGTTAAAATCATTGTTGTTGGGTTTTGGGGGTGTTTGTTTGTTTGTTTGCTTTGCTTTGTTTATCCTTCCTGTCTCTACTCACAGGTAACATCATGGTGCTGTGGTCAACTTGTAGAACATCAGTACTTAAATCTGTAACAAACCGATTCATTAAGAATTTGGCCTGCTCGGGGATCTGCGCCAGCCTAGTCTGTGTGCCTTTTGACATTGCTCTTAGTGCCAGTCCACACTGCTGCTGGTGGATCTATACGATGCTCTTCTGCAGAATTGCCAAGTTTCTGCACAAAGTCTTCTGCTCAGTGACTATCCTTAGTTTTCCAGCCATTGCTCTTGACAGGTAAGAGAGCAAATTTGCCAGGATCCTTGATATTTCTTTCTTCTTTTCTCCCTTTGAAACCCTTTTCTCCCTTTCATACTGGTCTTGCTCTTGTTCCAGTGCTATGCTCACAGTGTACAGCTTCTTTCTAGAACGTATTGGGATAAATATTCTTCTCTGTAACATTGAAAACCTTTATTTTTCAGTTTACTCTGATATCTCTGGACATTTATAAAGGACTTTGAGTCTATAGATTTGTCTTCAGAGAAGTTTTTGTCCTTTCTTTCTTCCTGTTAATAATTCTTGTTCAGTAACGGAACTTGAAAGCAGACAACTTCAGACCATAGACAAGGTGCACATTTTTAACTGTGGAAGTTGAAAGCCATTGACTGTTAGAAGAATTTACCAATGCCTGAGGTAGATGTCCATCAATTTCAAATTTCAAATGTAGATTTGTTTTAAAAAAACCCAAACAATATTAATACAACCAAAATTAATTCAGAGAGGTTTTGTATGTAGAAGATCAGTCTAAAACAAAAGTGGCCCTTTGGACTGTCTAAGTTTTTGGATTCCATTCATTTTGCTTATTATTATTATTATGAGCAGTCACTGATCCCACCTAAATGCACAGCTCTATCATCTTGACAGTGACTGTAAGTTAGATATTTTTAAGGAAGGGTAGATACTGGTTTAATACAGTTGACATTACTAAAACAGCAGAATTATACATGTTAGATAAAATTGTTCGTCTGTTATCATGTCTCGCCACAGAATACATTAGCTCTGCAAAACCAAACTGTATACCTAATAAAGTGATATGTGTCTTACTTTAATGTTAATGTCTTTATAAATGCAGTATCACTATCTGTAATGCACACCAGTGTTGCCACTGGAACAGCATATCATTTCCCCTTCACCAGTAAAACTTGTGATCTTCCTCACAAAAAGCAGAAACTTACCATTACCGCTTGTAATGGTAAGTGTAAAAGGATAGGTCTCTCATGAAAATTCTGTGAGCTTAAAAGTCCACAGTAGTAAGCAAACTATGAATCGGTGCCTGAAATGTGAAGTGCATGTCAGAGATGCAACTTTTTTTTTTAATGCACACAGAATGTTCAGTGTTTGACTACTTTTTTGCTCAGGGCCTTGCCAAACCAGAGCTTGTGCAAAACAAAACCCCATTGTACTTCCAGTAGATGGGTACATGTAATTTGTGACCAACAGCTTTTTCCAAATATGCAGAGAAAAGATCTATCATAAAGCAGCTTTTCAAATTAACTATGAATCTGGCCTTTCAATGTGACCTATCTATGCCTCCATCATATTTTCTGAAATTTTGTGCTGCGTGCAGTATACTGTCCTGTTTGCAAGTAGGTAAATGATGAAATCTTCAAAATAATGTTCATACGCATCAGCCAAAGTGATATAGTCCCAATTATTGAAAGAATTGTTCACCACCAATAATGTGATCCTGAAGTTTGAATATTCAGTTTTTTGCTACAGACAGACTTGCAAAGGCAGACCCTTGGTTTTTGTGGAGTTTTTTGGTTTTGTTTTTATTTTTTTTTCTCTCAGGTAGAGAGCAGGTAGTCAGTTGGCAGCATGGTTAGGGATTTGGGGCATTACGCTCAGACAGCGGCTGAGAGGCTTGTCATAAGCATTATGCTTACTATAGACTTCACCCTTTGCATTGTCTCAGTTGTAATTTTTTTTTTTTTTTTTGACAGGTACTACTCTGTTTTATACCCTCTGGAAAGAAAAATATCTGATGCAAAATCCCGAGACCTGGTTATCTATATCTGGGCCCATGCAATAGTGGCCAGCATTCCAGTATTTGCTGTGACCAATGTGTCTGATATTTATGCCATGTCCACCTGTTCTGAATCTTGGAGTTATTCCCTTGGCCACCTGATATACGTCATCATCTATAACATCACCACTGTGATTGTACCAGTGGCTGTGGTATTTCTCTTTATGATTCTTATTCGCAGGGCGCTGAGTGCCAGCCAGAAGAAAAAAGTCATCATAGCTGCCTTAAGGACCCCTCAGAACACCATTTCTATCCCTTATGCCTCCCAGCGAGAAGCTGAGCTTCATGCCATGCTGCTTTCCATGGTTATGATATTTATTTTCTGCAGCGTCCCCTATGTGACTTTGGTGATTTACCGCACCATACTCAATATTTCAGATATTTCAGTCTTCTTGCTCCTCACTGCCATTTGGTTGCCCAAGGTCTCTTTGCTGGCCAATCCTTTGTTATTTTTAACTGTTAACAAATCAGTACGGAAGTGCTTAGTGGGGACAATAGTACAGCTGCACCGAAGGTATAGCAGGAGAAACATTGTCAGCTCAGGTGGTGTTGCAGATGCTAATCTGGAGCCCAGTGCCCGTTCAGGGAGCCAGCTTCTGGAGATGTTTCATATTGGGCAACAACAAATCTTCAAGCCAACGGAAGATGAGGAGAATGAGACCAAATCCATTGGCTCTGGTGACTTTCAACAGAAAGAAATTCCTACCACCAGTTTAGAGGTAGGAGAGACTTTGGTTCACAAATTTATACCACAGACGATTGCAGACTCTGCAGCTCAGGTGGCACCAGCTGTGCCCACAGAAGCTGATATGGTAAATGACAAGTATTCCATGCAGTTTGGTTTTGGACCCTTTGAGCTGCCTCCACAGTGGCTCTCAGAAAACCGAAACAGTAAGAAGCGACTCCTGCCTCCTTTGGGGAATACCCCTGAAGAGCTAATCCAGACAAAACAGCCTAAGTGTAAAGCAGAAAGAAAAATCAGCAGAAACAATAAAGTCAGTATCTTTCCCAAGGTGGATTCTTAGTAAGAGCATGAGCTTTAAGTGGCAGAGGAAGGTCGCCTTCTATTATATGTGTGATCCCATGGATCTTTGTTATGCTGAAATTTGTTACAGGCTGATTTTTTTTGTGCCAAATACAATTTAAACAAACAAACAAAAGGGAAACATATATACAATGTTCCTTATTAATATGCTTTCATGGAAATAATGTATCAAAAGATGGTGATTCTTAGCTTTATCTGTGAAATGCCTACAATGATACCTGCCTGATTAACTTTCAAGAGTACATATGGCTTTGAGAACACTTTGTGTGGCTGAAGTATGGAAATATGGCAGTCAGTTTGCTGGGAAACCTCATGTTGTATTAAAATGGACTGGGTATCAAAGTAACTTAATAGGAAAGGCTGTAGGGAGCAGAAGACAGATGCAAAATAGGAAGTCCTAGCCTACAGTAAATAGACACAGCAAGGTTCTGCACATTTCATTAATGAAGTAAGATGGACTGTTAAGTACATCTATTTTCTGTTAAGCCCATTTCTTAAATCAGTGTTAAAAATAAAACTTGCTGGACTTTTTGCACAGGTTAGTTACCAAGTATCTGCCAAACACCTAAACTTTTTTGAAACCTAAACCACTATTTTTTGGCTTAAAACTTCAGCGAAGCCAAGGATATCCAAATCGTCACGTGTGTCAAACCTGAGAAAGACCTTTTTTTAAAAAAACATACATTCCTGTACTTTTAAGTAAAAACTGGATTGGAGACCACGCAGGACAAATCCTGACTCCAGTAAACAAGTGTGTATGTGCCAAGGGCATAAATAAAACACTTTGATCCTGTGATAAAGGGCATATACAAATGTCCCAACAGTGTAACGTGCGTATTGTGTAAGTAACCAAGGGGTCAACCTTAAAATAGACTCATCTGCTGGTGCATTTTGCTGTTTTCTTATAGGAAAGCTAGCAAATGAAATGGGTCAGAAATGCTAGTAGCCTTGTACTGAACTGCTGAGTGAGGAAGCTGATAACAGACCCCAAAAGGCAAGGTTTATTAATGCTGTTGCTCACTGTTGTCAGAGGTAGGGAGGTTTTCCTTCTGCCTTCACAGATACAGATACAACCATCCTACTCCACTTGTGTCACAGAGTAGACCACATGAGACTTTCAAATCTGGTGCCTAATTACTGAGTGAGTCAGAGTCCTGCCATCTCTGGTATCAGCACACCAGCCATTCTATGAGAGTTCAGGCATTCTACTGCAGCTTGCCCCCCTGCATCATCACAGGCATATTGTCTTGTTCATACTGAGCGTGAATTTTAAACTATATCAGTCTGTTAGATGACCTGAAACTATTGTAACCCTGGCATTTTAATCCTTGCCCAGTTGCAAGTAGTCTTTCCTTCTTCGTTATCTGCATTCACTGTTGTCTCCGTGGGTAGTTTCTTAAAAGCACAATGTAGTAACATCTGTGTACTCCTTGTGGTTCTCCTGTACTTTAGCCCTTCGGTGCATGCTGAACCTTTATCTGTAGTTACTGCCTGTTTATGAAAGTAGTTTTCTTTAAAGCATACTTTTAAAAGGACAAGGTGAAGAATCTTGCCAAGTTCACAGCAACTTACTAAATCCAACCGGTTAATGTTAAAAGTGAGAAAAAATTCTGCTGAAGCAGAATTTGGAGATGTACTTGTTCTTCCTTTGACATGTTTGAAGAAAGTCAGCAGCTTCCGATGGCTCCAAGGTGGTGGATTTCTACAAGGCATTAAAAGCAAGTGTTTTAATAAAAATGTATTAAGAAAAAAAGTTTGTAAATTACTGTGTAAGTCATGTTTTTCTCCATTGCCTCTTTGGTTTCGGTGCACTTCACTTCTTGCTAGTTCAGGAACTTCTCAGCTTGGGAGTGAGGAGCAGTCTTCAATGGGTCCAGATGGGTGGTGGAAACTCCAGCTGCCCTGCTTCTTAGATGCAGAGATGAGAGGGCAGACATAGCTTGCCTGAAATCGGACAGAAGAAATATTCCAGGAAAAAGTGTTTCTTCTGTGGCAGAGATGTACCATAGCAGACTTTTTTTTTAACTGTTCATAAGTAATTTAATGGAGTGTTTGTTTTTCCAAAGTTAGTGAAAGAACAGATGCCATTCAAAAAATCCTGAAAACCTCAAAAACAAAATAGGAGTTATTGTTTCCTTATGAATTTTGGTTAAATTTAATATTTATGGCCCACTTTATATATAGATACTGGTCAAAGTCTGTGTTTAATGAATGTGGATAAATGGTTACTGAGATCTGAACTCCTCTAAGGAAAGCTAACAGTTTTATCCTTTTCAACTCTCATGTTGAATGAAATGCCAGTGATAAATTCAAAGAGCCAAATTGCATAGAATTTAGTTTTATCATATCTGGAAAGCAAAGGGTTTGTGGTGGTTTTTGACCGTTGAGACAAAAACATCCTTTTCTTTCAAAGAGGCCACATGTAAAAACTTGCTTGTATTTTTTTTTTTAGCAGCTTGTGTCTGAAGGCATTGAAACCTTTCACCAAGAAATTAATGAAGGTGGTTTTCCATACCTGAAGAATTACTTGGAAATATTTTATTTTAGTCCCTCTTTCAACAGTTTATCCACGTGAATGTTTAAGGGAAGTGGAAAAAATACACAAAAGCACATCTTTGCATAGGACAAATAATCTGTGTAAAATTCGTAATACAATACAGCCTCTGTGCTAGAATTGTCATCAGAAAACTAATTCAGGAGACTCTATGCAAGATGGAATATTTGACTTAGAGAGTTTGATTCTTAACTTCATCTAAGACAGGGGTAACTTTTAAGTCAATACTGCTGGCTGTTGGCTCGATGATTTCTACTGGGCAAAATGTTCTCCAGCATCCAATATGAAAAAAAATAAATCAAGACTTGTTTTATTATTTAGCATCACATTAAAGATAAGCAAAAGTGGGGTTGTTTTGTTGTTATGATGGTTGTTTTTAACCACCACTGGTGTTGGTTAAGATAAATTTTTCTCTCCAGATTATTGATGAAAGAAATTGAAGTACAATGCAAAGCTGTGGGAACTGAAGAAGTGAAAGCCTGGAGCAATTTGGCCTGTGCAAATAGATTTAAAGGCTAGATCTTACTACTGGAGAATAAACTTGGAGGAAGGAAAGTTAAAACCCATTATTCTAGCACTTAAGGGAGAAAAACAGAAAATGGAGCTCATATTAAAAAAGGAAGAAATCCTTTAAAAAAGATGAAGAGACTGTAGGGACAATGTCAATTTACTGTTCCTAGATATCCTCAAGAAATACTGTTAAATTGAAACATCATGTAAAAATTTAAAAAAAAAGAAAAAACCTACACAGTCCATCAGCACTAAATAATGCTATATTGGTTGGCTACTTGGCAACAATGTATTTTGCACAATGGGATAAACTTCCAGAGAAAAGCAGGTGTTTTCTAGAAATTCACCAAGTATTCTACTCTATAACAGATCCAATTGTTACTAAGCTGCAGTAATTGAGTGAATGCATTTGTTCTGGTTTTAAAAAGACACCTATAGATAATGTTTTGCTGAAAAGGCTGGCTGGATTTCTGTAGTGAGTTTTCTTCTACTCTGCTCCCTGTTTCCTGGAAAAATATTCCTGTATCAGTGGGCTGTATCTTGAAGAACGGTGAGGAAAGTGAGGCTGTAGCTCCAGATCAGTAGGACTGGGACTCAGCAGCTGGTTCCGGCTAAACAGGAGCTGTCCCATAAGCTACTGTGAAGGTAACCAGCTCCGGAGGTGATGACATGTCCCACGGAACTCAGGTGGTTCCTCTCATTCATGTCACCTGACCTTGCACAGCATAATTTGATAAAGAATGTAAACATAAAAAAAGCAAAATCCCTGCCTTCTTATCTTATTTGATGTAAGTTACTGTGTAATTATGCTTTAACCTACATAGGAGTCAGTATGAGATAATCAATGGGTTGAGGTTTTTTTGCTTTTTTTTGGCCATGAAGGACTCACAGCCCTCCCAAAAGATACAGTTGAAATTATTGCTTTCAAACTTAAAACATTCTTACCTCTTCAGAAGACTGCTTATTTTAGTTGAAGTGACTTTCTCTGTGCAAAGTAGGGGTATTAGCAGCATTTCTAAATGAGTTATGATGATGTCTTTAACTATCAAATTGGGACCACAAGGTTAGTCACTGCAATCTTCAGTAATTTGTAATTCAAGGACAGTTTAGGAAAACACAACACAACAAAATGAAACACATCTTGTAGAAAATTGCAGAACTCCAGATGCAGATGCTTTCACTCAGGAGGAAGTCGATTCCTCCCCTCCCCTGGAGGACACTGGGGGGGAACAGCAGGAACCAGCCCAAAGCAATCTTTGTTCCATGCCTGCTTTTAAGCTGCTAAACCAGCCAGAGGTGGTGAAGAGTGTGCAGAGGCTTTCTTCAGGGATAACAATACAAAAGTGGGATGCAGAAGCATTCTTCATCTCAGTGAAAGCCCCTCTGCACGTGCATAGGAGGAGTTCTCTTGCTTCTCTTCCGTGAGGAGAAAGTGGACTATTTTTTAAAGAAAGCACAGGACACACCAAATCAGATCCAAACCTTGAATACGCCTTTGGTAATGCAAACCAGGGTTTTTCTACACAGGTGTTATTTTGCATCCTGAGGTTCCCTATAGCTAAACATAATGCACCGAGATGGTGATTTACTCCAGAAAACTCCTTTGTGCACAGTACTTACCTAAGCAGTATTGTGTTGTCTTTGCCTCCATTTTCTGTAAAACTAAACCCTCTACTTTTTGCCTGGATCATATCCTAAGCTGCAGAAGGTCCTTAGACACTTGTAGGATCTCATTCTTCTGATCCCCTTGCACCTGTCCGGTAGCAAACTCCAACACACTGCACCCCATGGCACTGAGACATTTCAGCACAACAGAATCCGTTTTCAGCTCCTGCTTCCTAAACTCTGCTGTTTGCCAGCAGAAGAAGGTGTGGCAGCGTGGAAGACAGTCTCGTCAGGGCAGGACCCTTCTCAATGCAAATCAAAGAATGAAAGCCTGGCTTTATTAAACATGGTGTAAGTTTTACCATTGACTTACTTAGGAGTTAACATATTAGTTCAGCCTTTGCTCCTCAGCTGACAGGCTACTATGCTGTATCACTATTGCTGATGGAGCACACTGCAGAACTCTGCTCATCCTCACTGAGGGTTTCTGGAAAAGTTGGAATATCGCCCAAAATTCCAGGCTTTTTGTCCTTGACCTGGCACATGCCAATCAAAAGATATTAATACATAATTTGTATTTTGTCCTTTGCAAGAAAAGGGTCTGTTTATTCCCCTAACATTTAGGGGAATTAATGTAGTGAAATTTAGCTGTGCTTATCCTGATCCAAGTAGTAGAACTGTTACAGTCTACCTTAAAAATATTGCCTATGGTAAAGAAAAACTACTTCAGATCAATACACAAAAGAATATTAAAAATATCAAAGAGAAATAATTAATAAGCATTAAACAAAGTCTTGATAATTTGCCCTCCAACCTGTAAGAGACAATGAAAGTGTTTTGGCTACCTATTTGTGTATCAAAATGCTGTTCAGCAGGAGTATGAAGATAAGTAGTAGTAATGGAAACAAGTTCCCTATATTTTCCCCCCTCATTTGTGTTTCTTCTTGATTGGGTTAGGGAGAAAAGGATAAGTGAATTGTTACTATAGTGACTGTTCGAGTATCAAGACAGCTTGTCTAAATGTGTCTTCATCATGTTGTAACATATCTTTTAGGATGAAAAGCACCTCTTGGGGTGCTTTTCTTGCTGTGCCCTTCCTAGACCCAAGAGTTTTCTCCAATTCAACACTTTTTCTTTTTTTCAGTCATCATACTTCAGAGAATTATCTAGTTTATCATGAAACAAAACTGACCCATTCCCAGAAAGGCGAAAAAGAAAGCACACCCTTTGTTCTGCTTTTCTAGTGCAAACTTTATTATAAATCCACCTGCAACAATATTTGAGATTACGTAATATTTCATGTTTACAAAGTTCAAACCTTTTAATGGAGATGAAGACTCTTATGGCCCAACTTGCAGGATTTGAGATGAACTCCATGAACCCCTTCTCTTCCTCTCTGGGTCTTGTAGGACACGTAACAGTCACAGATCATAAGATCAACTGTGGTTTGAGATATCCCTGCTAAGCCATTATTATTAATTCTTGGGTGTGACAGCCTCATTGAAAACCTTCACTGATTCTATGTGGACAAGCAGCAGTAAGGAGCCTGTTCCCGCACCACTTTCAAAGGAGTTTTATGTCCGTTTGTTACCGAATGCAGAGCTGGACACTCTCCTTTCATGGGCTCTTCTGAGGTTGCAGGCAATCTGTAACACAGGAAGCTGACAGCAAGTCAAACTCTGTCAGCTGTTAAGCATATACAGTCTAATGCAGGAAGAAATAAATATTGGGGTAGTTATACCTCACTGCTTTCCATACCTCATTATTCATAGCTAATATAATTCCTAATGCAGCAAAAGCCTGATTTTAGTTTAGCTAGTTCTGAACTATATGGTCCATTCTACTGCTTTCTCATTGTCATTACTGGCCTTAAATAGACAACTTGTGGATGCAAACATTCATTCTTCTATTTTTGCTTCAAATTGTGGTCTGCACCATCTGGAAAGCACCACACATTCCAAACACCCCTATGGTATTCCATTAGCAATTGCAGGATTTATGTTAGAATTTTAACATACCTGGAGCTCAGCATGTATTTTTTAGCCTCCTTCCTAAACAAGTGGTTCACTAGCATATTTTCTGTATTTGTCTTCAGCTCTTAACTGTAAGCCACACTGCATCATTACTACATGAAATACCAGGAAAAATCGTTCTTCTTTTACTAGCACTTGGAGGAACGTCACAGTAAAATGCCACGCAATATAAGCATCAATAAAAACTCTACTGCAGACAGCAAATACATACCCCCAACAAAGTAAGATTTATTTTGGCAGAAAAATTTGTCAATCAGAACCTTACTTTGAACAAAATGCAGTTTGTTTCTTCAGACTGTTTCTTGTAAATTTTTGCTGCCAGTGAAAATCTGATTTTAACATATGGGTATCGAAGGAAGGTGTAGGGGCCAGTAACTGTCTCTACAAGTGAATCAGAATGCAGGAATTAATCCTCACATCCTATTTAAAGATAGAAAAGAAATTAAAAGGGATGGGATTAGGAAGCTAATGACACTCCCCTTATGAATGAAATTCCTTATTAACAGTGAGAATTCAGGTAAAACATGGTGACCACAGTATTAGTTTTAAGTCTTAGCACGTTTATTTAAAAGTCATTCAACTACCCTTACTTACAAGTAAACATGGCACAATATATGCAGGAGACCAGACAGAGGCTACCATGACGATAAGTTGCAGCTCACAGCACCCTGGCTCACCCAGCTCACAGCTTTTAAGGCTGACTCTGAAGGCCCCCCCCCCCCCCCCGATCCCCGCACGGCCGCTCGGGGCCGGCGGCTGCACCACCTGCCGGGCACACCGGCACCCACCGTTTCTCACCGACGTTTCGGAAAAATCCAAGTTTTAAGCTCAGTACCTGCACGCCACTGACTCCGCTGACAGCACGCACTTACTAAAAGCGACCCATCTTTTAAGAGGCCGCTCCCGTTACTCGCGCCCCAGGGCCCCGGCAGCTGAGGGCCTCGGCGCCAGGGAAGGACGAGCCTCCCCAGCACACCGAAAGCCGCCGGGAGGAGGAGGAGGAGGAGGAGGAGGAGGACGCCGCCGCCGCCGCCCGGGCTCCTGGTGACAGTCTCAGCCGCGCTCGGAGACCGGCTGCCCCCTTGCCACGGCCCGGCATCCCACTCTCCGGCACCGGGCCCGGCACAGCCCAACTATCTGCGGGGGGGGAGGCGGGGAGAGGGAGGAGAAGGTCGCTCTGCACACGGCAACTCCCTGTGTCAGGACGGAGAAGACAGGCCTCACTGGGGTTATCTGGTGGTTCAGACTTCGTGAGCAGGTGAGAGCTCGCTTATAGTTGCATCCCTACGAAGGGGCTAAACCCCCCCCCCTCCCCGACGGTGGTACCGCCCCAATTTAAGGCGGGGAATCCCGCAACTCTCGCGAGAGTTCGGCGAGCTGGTCGTCATGGCAACGACGGCGGTTGTGCTGCCCGCGCTGCCGCCTCCGGCGGTAAGGACAGGGCGGCTGCCGGGTGGGGGGGGGCTCGTGCCCCCCGCCCGCACGCCCGCCCTCAGTCGGGGCTGCCGGAGCTGCAGCTCTGCCGGGCAGCAGTCCCGTCAGGGCAGCGCCTCGGGGCTCCTCGGGGCTTCCTGCCTGCCTGTCTGTCGGTGTGTTGAAACTTCTTGTGAGGTTGTTTTTTGTTTGTTTGTATGTTTGGGGTTTTTTGTTCCGGCATCCTTTGGGTCTCGGCTGTTGCTTATCTTTGTCTTCCTCGTTTATGGGGTTCGGGGTCTTTTGCGCTTGCCTTCCCACCCGCCCCGGGAAGGCGCAAGAAGCTCTTAGAAAACGTCCCCGAGGCTGTGGAACAGCCGCGGCCGGCAGAGGCCCGGAGGTGGCCCGCACTCGCGGCAGGCCCGGTGGGTTGGCGGGCCGGCCGCTGCGGGCGGTTCCGCCAGCGGGCGCGGGGCGGCGGCGGTCCCCAGCCCGTGTGGGAGCGTCCTCCGGCGGCGTCCCGAGCGGCTCCCGCAGCGGTGACTCCCTGGGCCCGGGCGGCGAGGGGCGAAGGGGCCGCCTCAGCGAGGGAGCCCGAGGTTCGGGAGGTGGAGTGGAGGAGCGGGCGGGGGCTGCTGCTCTTCGTCTCGGCCCGCTTCTTTGTGCGGCGTCGTGTTACGGACCTGTCTACGTGACTCAGTTTGCCCTGCTTCTTGTGCTGAAATAAAAAGTTGTATTCGCTTGGGCCTTCTGAAAGTGACCAGTGCGCGTCACGTACTCGGAGACCCAATTCCTGTGAATTCACGCGGTTTTTGCAGAGAACCGCGCATTCCTGTTGTTTAAACTCAAATGGGCCGGGACTGGGAATGGGATCATTTGGATATGCGGACACCCCACACTTAGAACTACTGAATTATTAAAAGCTTTTGGCTGCTTCATTTGATGTGTTCAAGATGTCTATAAAATACCCTCATTCTTCTGTTGGTGCTAGCTTTGCCAGTCCCATGTTTTCAAAAAAAAAAAAAAAAAAAAAGCCATGACATTTCATTTGTTGTGAGATTACTTTTAAGATTTAAGCCTTTTGAAGCTTCTTTGACAGCAGGCACATTTGAATACTTTGGTTAGCTTGATGATATAAATATATATTTGTTCGTATATTAAAAAGTGTAGTTGAGTGGCAAGCTAGTCTATACTCAAAAGACCTCTCAACACTGAATTGCTAGAAAGGATTTGAAACTTGTTCACTGTACATCTGAAATATTGCTGGGTTTGTGTTGCTTTATTATGACACTGATAGTTTGGAAGGTTGTTTTTGGTTTTTTTTCCAATTTTAGGTCAGAATGGATATTACAAGGGGGAGCTTGGATAAAATTTCAAGGCCTGCATCTAGCTCAAGAGCTTATCCTAATTGTAGATCTTTAAATACATCTATGGAGTTATTAACACCAGAGCCACATTTGCCAAAGGTAATTCTTTTCACCTTCAGCGAGGTAGAAACTCTATGCCTAAGTCTTCTTAGTAGGAAATAAGATTCTGCTTTTTTTGCTTCATATGGAGTTCTGGGCTCTGCAGGCATGCTAAGGGGTTATGTGAAAGTTCATGAATGTGAGTTGCTCCCTATGCATAAATGGAATGACGTTTAATTTCATTTTTCTGAATATGTGTTACTTTTATATTTGCCACAAGAAGGGCTATTCAGCACTACAACCTGGAAAACTTGGTTGTCTTCCTCTTTATATTTAATCAGATTATTAAATAAATCCTATTTTAAAGAAAAACATTTGAAATTCTGGCAATAATGTGTAGATATGCAGCTATAGGCTGTTGATGCATGAGCCAGTATGTGCATAGTTTCATTTCCATCCCATTTGTGCTTTTAAATTCAAGTTGGAATAAAAATTATTTTGCTTATTAGAAAAAAGCATTTGAGCAATCCTCACAAGTTGAATTTTTGACTACAAGGCTCTCTCAGCATATGTTTGAATCAAGTTTAAAAAACAATAAATCATAGTATTCCAAGAAATACTTCAGCTCTAGGGATTCAGCAAAGTCTGTTGGAAGTAGGTGTTCATCCATCCTCTAAGAAAATTAATATTGGGGATTAACTTAATTTTGGGAACAGGATATGTTTTATGTTTGTTGGGATGTGGGAACTGGGACTTGGGAATTGGAGATTTAGATTGATTTACTTAGATTAGTCCAGTTGTGTTGTACCTCTGATTACCTGTCTGAAGAATGGGATCATAGCTGGATGCTTCACAGAAGTATTAATTTTTATTTTTTTTTATAGGTTCACAGTTGGGTATTAAGGTTAATGTCAGATAACTGAATCCAAGTTCTGACCTAGACATCATAGGCTATTGCATGAAAATTGCAGTCTCTTGAGACTGATGAGTTAAGCGTAAGTTTTCAGCCCTTCAAAGTCTACAAAAAAACCTCTATAGTATGAGCAAGAGGTTGGATGCTATCTGGTGCAGAGCACCCACAGTGTCAGGAAATGGATGAGGCAGTTGTACACACAGACTCTTAACTGGTTGCTTGTACCCTCTGCTGCAGCAGAAGTGGCATAAAGCTTTGGAATCATTCCCTGGCGTGGCAATCCCAAATCTGGCAGTCTGTGGAATGACAAGCTTGAGAATCAATGTGATATCTAAGAAACAGAACTCTGTATCAGATCTGAAAATGGTTCTTTCATTTAAGAAGTACTCTGCAGTCTTGTATAGAATCATTGTTAGCCTTTGTGATAGTATGTGATAATTGTGATAATCTTTTTCTTCCCCCCAAAGATTTCTATTTTTATGGTAGTAATTAATTTGCACTTTATAGGTTGATTCACCTGTCAGTTTGGCTGGTAGTCATCAAAGAGGTAGTCTAGAAGACTGCTGTCTGGAAGAAAACAAAGGTGATGACAGAGAGAAATCTGATGTCAAGGAAGTAAGAACAGATCAGCAAACCACAGTGGCGAGTACGACCTTTCTTCAGGAGGAGCATATGCTGAATCCCAATGAGTTGTCAGGTATGGGAATGACTGACATTTTCATGCGTTATGGCTAGACCAAATATCATGTTTGTATAGTTTGGGTAAAATTCTAATGGTGGAGGGAAAAGAGGATGCAATTGGGTAAAATTCTAGAAGAGAAGGAGGTGTGAAAATTCATGCCTTCACTTCTCTTTCCTATTTTGAATCCATCTTTGAAAGAAATGTGTTATTACTGCCATTACCACTACAGCATATGTCTTATGGCATCTAGGCTATGACCTGCACCTTGGTGATGGCCTAAAAAATCACGAGAAACCATCTGCATGTGTCCCATGAAACCATGTTAGAAAGTGTTTTCAGTAAGGTGTTTTTATCAAACTTCTCACAGAGGTGATCATGATCATTTGTTAGAAACTTTGTATCCTAATAATGGTCCACCAGTACAAAAATTTGAAAATTATGGTTGTACGTTATAGTATTTAACAACTGAACAATGCTAATACTAATAACATACTTTAAATATAAATATGCAATATCTCATTTTAATGAAAGCGGTTGTAGAAGTGCTTCAGATGGCATTCTATAAATGTTAATAAATAAACTTTCTAGAGCTTCTGACTATTTAAAAATAGAGAAGCAAAGGCCAGTATGTGAAGCCGAAAGTTTGGATACCTTCAAGTTTAAATAAGATTCCATGGCAGAATTGGGGTCAAAAGAAATTCCTTGATTTCTTGCTCCTGTGTTTAACATGAGTCCTGGTGTACTAGTGTGTATCATTTTTTAAACAGTAATCCACTGTAGAGGCTCTGTGGTGATCCCTAACTGACAAAAATGTTATTTTGGTCTTTTAATTGTTAACATTTCACACAGTATCTTTAAAAGATTATTTCACATCTATTTGTGAAAGGCTTTTTCCTTTGTTTTTCAGGATGTATCTATAATTCAGATTCTGGAGATGACAGTACTGAAACAGAGACTTTGAAATTCTGTGAACCTTCACAAGGAAAACCAAGTAATGCAAAAGCAGGTATTACCTTTCAGGTGTATAAAGTAAACAGTGCAATAAAACTTTTTTTTTTTCTCCTTTTCTTTTAATGCTTCTAGGAGAGTTTGGGACCATACTGTATTTGTGTCTATATTACTTAGTTATAAAGAAATATTACAAATTGAAAATGTCTGTGCATTGTGATATTCAAGAGGTGTTGGATGAATTCTTTATTTAAAGATCATTTTATTAAAGGATATTCACTGTCTTTAATGATATGATAGTATTTGAGTTTTACATTGATTCAGTCAATCTGATAAGGCACAATCCAGTGGTGATTCTATCTAGTCCAGTAGTGCTGGTCATCTAACATAATATCCATTTCTTCAGAACAGAAATTGGATAGAACTCAACTTCAAAGCTTCACTCAGTAGTTTTAGGTTCAGATCCATCTGCTGGGTTGAGGCCAGTTGAAATAAGTGCTCTTTTTTTTATCTTCTGTCCTTGGGTCTTCCCTGGAGCTCAGTTAGATTTTTTTTTTTTTTATTATTATTTATAGCTCTCCCCTTGTTGTATCACTCATTTCTTTTTATGGCATAAAGCAGACTGATGCATCACAGTGAATGCTTGGGATCGAAGGGTGTGTAAAGCATTTGACCTCAAAAGATGAGAGAATGAAAAAATATTGCACGACTCTAAAACTTGGAAGTGTGTGGGATAGGGACAGCGGTACAAGTGTTTCCTCTACCCTTGTTATGGAAGCTAAGTTTGACCAGAGAAGAGGGCAGAGCATGAGGATTCTATAGGAAAGGGAAAAGCTGAAAGTGATCAGAAATTGTAATCTGCATGTTTAGAGAGAAAAAAGACAGTATGGAAATCTATTTTAATTAAATAATGATAGTGTCCATAATGTGTCACTGTTCCTATTTTTCAAAACAGTGTTTTTCTAGAACCAGTATCAGAATCTGGTTTTGCTGAGATATAAGGCAAGACTGAAACTTCTATAACATTTAAAAGTAGAGATATTGCAGTCTCTCTTAATCCCAGAATTATTCATTTTAATGAATGACATTTCAACATGTATTCTACTAGTCAGGCTGAATAAATTTTTTTTTAAGCTTATTTTTTCTGTGATTTTTGCTGATACTGTGGAGATGTTGACACTTTTCCACTATAAATTTGAATTGAGTTACTTGCCCAAAATGGGGGGGGCTCTTCATCCCCCATGCCCTCATATCCAACTGCTACAGTTCAGAGTTTGGTTCAGAGTTCTGTTACAGAGACTTTTCTATTTTACCCTACTACAAACAGGTTTAGAAATGCTTGAGAATAATTGTAATTGTACTCTTGTCATAAAATTATTATTTATTTTTTTTTAAGTTGAAATGCTTCAAGCTAACATTGATTTTAAATATATTCTACAGCAAACTCTTCCAACTTGGAATATTCTGAAGAAACAGGTGTAGATCCTCAGATTCAGGCAGCTATAAAGAAAATGAATAAACTTGACACAATACTGGCAAAAAAACATCTTAAGGAGAGAGCAATTAAAAAACAAGGCAAAGAAATGAGGGCAAAGCTCTGGAAAGAACTTCAGGTTAGAAGTGTTCTGCTTGTTTTGTGAATAATATATCTGAGAGTACTGTCCTACAGAATTATCATATTTCACAGATGTATTTTTTTATTAAATAACTCACAGTTGGCTGATTAAAGTGAAGAAATGGATCTTAAACAGTAACTTTGAATACATTTTAATATATATTGGGTAGGCAGGCTTTGAAAGAAGGCTGTGGTCCTTAAAAATTGATCTGACCAATAGCCAAATATACAGCTGTCTGGGGGTGGTCTACTAGCATAGTCTTATGCTTGAGCATAAGGTATGATAAGGCATGACAAGAGGTAATGTGTGTGCACCCAGACCTAGAAGCGTTTATTCTGCTCTAGTGTGACCATTCGTAGGCCCATCTATTTCAGTACTGTCTATTATTGAAGAAATTAGAGATGCCCCCTGAAGAAGGCATAAGAATGCCACAGCACAAATTCCTTCACGTTATTCCTATCTGGGTCTCTAGCAGTTAATTGTCATATTAAGCATTGAAACATGAGAGTTAGTATTTCCTCTGAGGTAAGTATTGTATAATTTACATGAATACAAATGTCAGTTGCTAAAAAGACATGATTGCAGTTGGTTTGACTGCATCTTATAATTTCAATGGATTTGGATTCAAAGCCATATATATATATTACAGAACTTGTCTTGTGAAATGTGTCTCCATGTAAAAGACAATGTATAACAGGCTTTAAAGTTCTACCATCCTTTATCATAACTTTTAGAAGATGTTCGGATAGCCTCAAGAAGGAAACAAAGCGGTAAGTAAATGTTGCCACTGAACAAGGAATTTTTAATAGGGTCTGAAGTTCATTAGACCTGATAAGCAGACAACATATTTTGCTTTAAAGTATTTACTTTAAAGTAAATACATGCATGTATCAGTATATTTATGATTTATTTCTTTTCAATAGTCTATCAGAATCACTGGAAGCCATGAGGAGATAGAAAACACAAAACTTTTTTTAGCTTTGATCTCATCATGGCAGGATAAAGCTGGTAAGTAAGAAAGAGAAGTAAATACTCTGATATAGTTATCCTGTATTTTGATTAATAGTCATATTTTTGTTGGATGCTATAAAAATAAAGCTATCAAACCTTTACAATAAAATAATATTTGCATATAAAAGTACATCAAGGGAATATTTGAAAAATTAATGGAAATAATTTTTGCATTATCACAAATGTAGAAGTTGTACTTTAATTTTGTTTATAGGTACTGCATTTTTTCAAAGAAATGGCTACTCTAAAAGGACAGAAATCCAGGATAAGTAAAGCTTGCATTTATCAAGTTGATGGCAAACACACATGATTTCAGAAAGGATGCATGACTGATGACACTGCTAAATTAAAGTAATAGTAGTAGGCATAGGGAAAACAAAGTGTGGAAATCTGAAAAACTTGGGTGTCTTTACCGTTTTGGAACACCTGGGCAATAAGCAAGGAATTAAAAATTGCTTTGGTAAACAAACAAAATGATGAAGTTACTGATGTGTTGTTATTGGTTGTCTTAGAGTGTTTGCCATACTGGAGTACTTGGTGTAAGAAGGGCAGGCAGTTAAAAAAATATTAGGCCTATAAATGTTACTTAGAAGCTTTAGGGATGTGGGCCCTGCCACACATCTATCTTGGAGAAAATTTTCATGTGGGACTGGGAAGCAATGGCAATGCCATAATATGACAGGTCCAGAGGGAGGGAAATCCTGAGCCTTTTTAGGAATTGTTAACAGAAGAACCAAAAGAATGGGACCAAATTATGATACTGAGTTACATGTTGGAAAACAATACAGGAACATGCATGCACAGCCCAGGTCTTGGAACATGGTCCAAAAGGGAGTAGGGGTCATTTACATTAAATTTGTTACTGATTATGTTACATTTAATTCATTTCTAAAAGAATTTAAAATTCCAAACGCGAGAGAGAATTTGAGTAAAAGGGATCATCAAATAATGTAGAGTGTGATTCTAAAGAAAAGGCATGAATATGAAACATGGACTTAGGGGGTTTTTTAATCAGTTTTTTTCCTGAGAATTCTAGGGAAGAAAATTTAGGATAGATGGCAGTTTTTAAAAGTGAAACTATGTTAAAGATATGCTAGCAGACTATTCTCAGGAAGAAAAGACCAGGAAGTCTGATAATTTCTGAGTTTCATCATGATATGATAATGAAGACAAACATATTCAAAGTGGAAATGAACACACGGATAAGAATAAACACTTGCATTTTAGTCTTTTAGTAAAAATCACTTCCATCTTCAGTAGCATTTAAAACACCAAATTCTACAGCTGCATTAAAAGTAGACAAATGACTAATGAAGGATTGAGCTCTTTAACAGGAAAGGTAAACAAATAGTTAACGATACAGAGAAATGTGGAATGTGATACGTAACAAAAAAAGACTAACCATGATCAAAATTACAGTGAATACCAACAATATAAAACTATAGATAGACTAGGGAAAGAAAAGTTAAAGAACTATTTAGAAATGTTTTCTCTACTGAGTCAGAAGGACGCAATTCTGTTAGAGTTCTAAAGCAAGTGGCTGAAGCGCGTTCTGAAGTATTGGTAGTTTTCTTCAAGAATGCACAGAGCATGTGCATGTTCACAGGGACCTGAAAAAAGAAAATATTGGGTATTTTAAAATGTAATTTTTCTTTCTGTGGCTAGACTCTTACTGGGGGAGACACTGGAATAAACTGTAGGCATTCTGCTCACAATGTCTTTATTGGGAGGGGCAGGGGGAACAAAACCAGACTGAATTTGTCAAGAATATACCATGTCAAAACTGCTCAAGAGTGGTTTTAAAAAATTTGCTGTTTGAGTACTCTGTCTCAGTGCTGGAGTTTTCAGAGATGTGTCAATCATATGCATATTTCGCATCCTGTCCTTCATCTCTATACCTTTGGTTGAAAGGAAACAGAGTTGTGGTGCATCCTGTCTTTTTTCTTGTTGGGGAGAGAACAAGGATTTGAGGGCTGAATGGTTATTGCTGAGCAAAAATCTCATCTTGAATGTTGGAAGCACCTGCATAATAATGGTAGCAATGTGTGGTTAAAACATTTCAACAAAACTTATTATTATAAGGTAACCTGCTTTTATTTCTGTGCTCAAGTTTGGGTTAAGGGAAGAACACAGAATTTGATACGGGTGATATTTAAAAAATCTCCAGTAGATGTCAGGATATAGTAAAAAAACAGTAGGCAAGCAAGACTCTATGGTTGTTAATGAACTCCATGCTTCCATTCCTCTTTTATTTCAAAGGTAACTCCTTGCTGTAGAGATCATGTGCATCATATGGGTTCTGGTGTACCATAGTGGCAAAACTCTGCATAGTTTAGATTTATATTTTTCCTCCAGCTTGATCTTTATCTTGAATTTTCTGTCACATGCTAGTGCCTTACTTTTCAGGTCTTTATTTATTTATTTAAATGAGTGCCCTTATAGCTGCCCCGGTTGATACTGAAATGGAATGCAATTCATATATTTTGTTTTTCAGAGCTCGACTTTGGTAAAGAGCTTTCTTAATTAAATTATATAGGGAGCTATTTAATTATAGCTTTTAATATGGCTGTGAAATCAAACACAAGTTCTGGGTACAAAATCATTAATAACTTATGTGTCCCAGCCTCTCAGGCACAAAAAAACCCTCTGACACACTCATGGCAGAGATGTAAATCGGGAGTTAATTAAACAGCCTTAAATTCATTCCCCTGTGCTCTGTCTAACAAAATCATACTTTCAGTTGAGTTCATTAAACTTCATTATTACAGGATGTTGGTTGTTTTTTTTGTTGTGAAAAATACATTTTTCACAAGTGATATATACAGTTCTTTGCAATACGAGTCCTTTTCTGTAAGTGCTAAGTGTATAGACTGCAAGTTAATGCTCTAATTTATACTTCCATTTGATAATATGTCAATACCATGACTGAATTTTTTTTCTTTGAGTAGCTGAAACGACTCTTGCATGCTAGGATGTTGGAACACATTTTTTTCCTAGACTATACCCTTGACCTAAGCCACTTGGAAGTCTAATAATGCATGCACAGGCAGACACCAGCTGTGAAAACCTGGATACTTTATTCTCATTCGGAGTTCTAGATGGCTTGCCACATGGTGTCTGCAGAGCCTTTTGAACTTTAGGGCCTTGGGCTGTATCTTCTAGAATTAATTATTTGTCTTGTATGGGTGGTAGTTGTTAAAAACAAAAACACAGCCATATGAAACAGCATAATTATTCATGAGACACACCTTACACTTTTTCCCCTTCTTTATTTCTGGAGAAATATGGTGGTTATGTAATTTATCCAAGTAAATTTCTTTAACTTTTCATGTGTGAGATCTTACAGTATGATACACATGAAACCTAATCTTCTTTAAGTAAATTTCAATTAAATTTTACTGAAAAAATTCCTTGCAGATCCCTCCCATGCTAAAGAAGATGAAATATGTTCTTCAGTATTTCACACACAAATTAATCCAGAAGATTATGATTGCCATAAACCCCAACATAATCAGGGTAAGCTTTATTAATTGTATTGTTTATATTTCTAGATATAGCAAACCAACATGTACAATGGGTGGATAATGAAGAGTTGGCCTTTGTGGCTAGGCCGATAAAATCAGAAAAAGCAAGGTTGCTTAGTACAATAGCGACAGTTCTTATTTTTTTTACAAATTATAGAAGAGAATAATTTTGTTTATCTAAAACATTTTACTCAACATGTTAAGAAATTTTTTACCTTTGGGTTTATAAAACTTTTTTTCTTTCATTGCAAAATGATGAGGCTTGTAACTGATTCATTGTAAAATGTATCATGGGTTCTTCATGGGAATTTTTTAAAACCTTGTCTTAGCTGTTATTCTAAAGTACTGTAACTTTAATCGGTTTATATTCAAGAAACCATCTAAAAATGAAGAGTGGTGCTGTATACAGTTTCAACTGTTTTGTAATTTTTTTCTTTTCAGGAGAAATTGTATGGATGTTGTGACAAACCTAAGTCTTCAGACAACTCATTTTACATTTTGTTATGCTGATTATTGTAAAGGCTGCATTGCTTTATGGATTAAGTACTGCTTGGCAAAAATCAAACATCTGTGCTGATTCTTTTAGACATCAATTGTTTATGTGCACTGTATAGAGGTTTCAAATGCAGCTAGTAGTGTAGTGTGTCCAACACTTCAAAATAAATGGAATTGTGCTTTTGTGCCTCTGTTCTTTCCCTATTTGAAATTCAAATTTGTATGGTTGAGTAACTTCTCACATGTGTTGTGGCATAAGAAGAATAGCTTCAGCTGCCATTGCTATCAGCTGCAATTGTTTATTTCTTTGTCATCTACCATTCTATGTAAGCAGAAGGAATCTATCTTCCTGGTGACTGGCTAAGATGACAAAGACATAATAAACAGGTGTTCCTCAAGGCTGAGCCATTGATGGCAGCAGAACCTCTGTACTTTTTAGAATTTGACTGTATGTTTTAATTTTTAAACCTGGACCTTAGCTCCCTTACCATTTTATCACTTGTCTTAGTCTGCCAGTATGTGACCTTAACTTTGTGTTATTAAATGTTTCTTCAGACTGGGTTCGAGCAGTGCTGCGCTTTTGATTTCTCTGTCTTCCTGACATGTATCTTCATTCCTCCCTTAAAATGAAGCTTGACCCTCAGCTTTCACCTTCACAAAATTTCTGAGTTGTGCTGGAGTGTCCCTGAATAGCAACGGCAGGTTTCATTAACAGTATTCAGGACAGCAGTGACTTCTGAAGTTCCCAGTACAAGCATGGTTGGGAGTTGCTATTGCTTGTACTATTTTGAGATGTTCTGCATTCTCCTAGTTTTGGAATGCATGGAGTAGAGATCACTTACAACTCATGAGCAATAAATTACTTAAATGACTTTTACTATTTCTGCTGGAGGCCTTTATGGTTTCTGAACAGCTAAGACTTACTGTTTTGGTTGCTTTTGGATTTCTGTGTAACATTTGTCATAAAGGCAGACACTGAATGAGAGGAGCCTAACTTGTGAAGAAGAATGTATGTATTAGTTTTATAATGCTAGTTTAGCAGTCTCATCAAGATTTGTACCAATCTTCCAAAACGTGTATGCAAAATTTGTTGAGCTGCAGTCTCTCTTTTACTCACCCATGGCAATCTTCAGTGTATTCTTTGTCCCAGTGATCCATGTCTGTCCCTTCTTTACTTGAATGTTCTGAGAAGTTCTGTATGATAGTTCCCTCTCAAAAACGCTTATTCTACAGTTAGAGAAAGATGTAGCTTAAAAGTAACGTTTCATATATGTTGCATGTTATGTTGGTGTTTGGTGTGTTTTGTTCATTTCAGGATACAACTTCTTATGTTTATATTGATTGGTAAATTCTTATATGATCCAGTTCCTCAACATATTCAAGATGTTACCTGGTAATGTTAAAGATTGGGATGCTTTTAGTAAACAGTTGTGCATTTGAACTATGATAGGGTTTTCATGGTCAGATTCAACACCTCAGTCCTTTAAGGTTTGCTTGGAATTTTAAAGTAAGCCTGATTGGTGAGAATTGTTACACAGGGTGTTTTTTGGCTATGGTGTGTAAAAGGATGCATGGAATTTATTTCATATCTTTGGGAGTTTGCTTTCAATCTACTCCCTCTGAAAAAGAGTTACTTTGATGTAAACTACCATAGCCTATCTTCTATTATCTAACATGTTAAATTGGTTTTTTTTGTAGGCAAATAGCCCGCCCATTTTTCAAATCTCTACTTTCCAGAAAAGTAAAAACTACCATGCCTACTTTTGAAGTCGTTTTTGAGACTCAGAAGTTGGTTGTATTTGCTTAGACTTGTTATTTAACGTGACAAAGATTTGCTGTTCATAAAGGAATTGCTGTTTAAGAACTGGTAAAAGTCTCTCAAAAACAGAGTACGTGCCCGTTTTTGTATGATGGATAGAAACCCATTGCTGAAAAAAACATGTGTGATGTTGTAAGAATATCATGTGGCTGTTTAATAGCTTTACAGCTCAATGATGAGTTTTATTTTTAAACAAAACTTGTTTTATAAGCTGTGTTATAATAGTATCAACTATATCATCTGTTCTTCAGCTGTTTTATTTTTAAAAATGTACTTGATATGTCTCCAAATAGTTTTGTGGTTTTAAAAAAAATTATTGTCTGGTTTTGTACTGATGATAAAACTGAAACAATGATAGGCTTCGAAGGAATGCCATGGCTTTTAAAGCCGCCATGTTTAACATTTTTGAGGTCAGAAATCCAAAAGTATTTTAGCCTTCGCAACATTGAATGAGCTTATATAATAAAAGCTTAAAAAGGAGATTAGATTTTTATATAGTTATATTTTAAATATAGCAATGTAGTTTATATAAATAATGAAAACAGCATATAAAAAGTTTGTCTGTCCACTTTATATGTATGTTAAAGATTTAAATGGGATTGCTGTTATTACAGCTCTCGTTGAATCACAAAAGCAATGATTATGACTTAGCAACTTTTCTTCCTCAAACTTCAGATTATCCAAGTGAATTAGAAACAAATGAATTTCTTAATCAAGCAGAAAAAACACATAGCAAAAGTAAAAACAATCAGGATTTCATTAAAAAGAACATTGAGGTAAGCATTAAAGCATAAAATTATTAATTTGTTAAATGCTGACTAAAAATAGTATATAAGTACTTCTGGAGACAGTTGGGGATTTTATCAGTAACATTAAAAGCTAATTAGGCATAAATGAAAAAAAGCTTGCTGTTAAAAAGTGTTGTTTATGGCATAGTACTGTATAAGATAGTTCTCATCTTGCATGCTGATATTGGTGGGGATAATACTGCTTCTATGTCTTTGCTAAAGACTATTGGAAACTGAATTGTTCTGTTTGTGCCTGGATATAGCTTGTTTTGAGGGCAAATATTTCCTAAGACTTTCTTTAAATGTATTTACTGTTAAGTTAAAGGAAGATGTTCTTATGCATAGATAAGGAATAGGTAGGCAGGTTTTTCATGTATAGCCTGCCTGGGACCGTTATTTACAGAAGACTTCTTTCTGTTGGAAAACAGATGCCTTGATTTTCTTGCTTTTTTTTTTTTTTCTGTGAAGACCTAGTAGCTATAATGATTTTTCATCCAATTAAAATATCTGTGTCCACCCCCCACCCTGCACAGCTGTGTCAAAGACTTTTATAAGATTATCAATTTATTATATGAAGGCTGCTACTTTTTTCTGTCAGAGTGATAATTTGTATTATGGCAATAAGCAAGATTTGGATGTTAATTTCACAGAGTTTGAAACCTGTGTTTTAGTGCTGTTTGAGCTAATGGAGTTCTAAAGTTTGGTTGGTTTTGTTGTTTTGTTTTTTTTTCTTTTTGTAACTATTTCAGCTAGCAAAGGATTCAGGAAACCAGATTGTTATGCTTGAGGGAGAAAGGAAAAGGCTAATTGAACTATTGAAAGATACAGAAGATGGAATTGAATTACAAGGTCTTGAGGTATGGCAACTTTAATTTGTACTGTCCTGTTGTATTTGGCTTATTTTTATGGAAAATCTAAATTTGATTTGGTTTTAGTCCTACCATGAAGGAACCTACTGAGATATGAGAGAAAAGCTGAACAAATCCAATGGGCTTTGTCTCCAAGAATGAATTTTCATTGGATTCTTTGTTTTACTAACACTTGGACATGCCTGGCCTCAGAAAAACAGCAGGACTTAAAAGAAAGTTAGACATGGGTGGAAGGAGCCTTAGAAGCACGCTCAGAGAAGATGGCCTATTTTCTCTGTGTAAAATGTGAAGTTGCAGCCTATCAGTCTGAGTGGCTAGTGCTGTAATCTCAGGTAGAAGGGCCAGCAACTACTTCAAAAAAAACCTCCAAGACTTTTCTGAGGACATCAACTTCAGAATGCAGCAGTTGGGGAAATATACATTGATGAAGCTTATGTGTCCATTTAGAAAGATAACATGTCATCTTTGTGTGGCTTCTAACTCACTCTGTCTTAGAAGTATACAGAGGAGCTAAAGTCTGCTTAAATATTAGACATTATGCTTTAACGTGATAGTGTTAAAGAGCGTACAGTCCGCATACTGTGGTGAATAGCAAGAGCTGAAGTAGATAGAAATACCTTTCCTCATGGAGAGTAGAAAAGTGTTTGATTGTCCCACCAATCGCTGCTCTAGGAGAGTCTGTGCCACAAAATGATTCCCAGTAACATGAAGACATCAAATAGTCTTTTGATCTCCCTATTACTAGGATATGGCCTTTATTTCTTACTGCTTTGAGGGAAATGTCACAGTGAAGGAGTTCTTGGGCGCTCTGTTGTTTTACAGAAGTAATCATAAGGCTGCTAGGATGGGAAGATAAAATTTGGTTTGAAAAATGAATCATATTAGGAACTTAGAGTACTTAACTATATATGGTATTAGACATGCTAAAGATACGTGTTTTCATAGAATGAACATCCTCAAACTATGTAAACTTGATATAATGCTTCAAGTAACCTGTATTTTAATAAATAAGAAGAAATATTAGGAAAATGCTTGCTTTGTGTAAAGAAATTACGTGACCTTTCTAATTTGTTTTGCATTAAAATGTACACTATGTTAAGTCTATAGTAACGTTATAAACTTTTTCACAACATTTCTAAGTATACACTGAATCACAGTACCTAAGAAGAAAGATGTGAACTCTGTGTAGAATGAACAAAATATATCCAAGGTCCAGTTTCTGTTTAATTTATACTGCTAAAAATGATCTGGAGTAAATTATTTTTCAGTAGGTTAAATAATAACTTAGATGTGGGAGAAAGAAACAAAAGCAAATGCAATGTTGTTTGGTTCGGTTTTTTTGTCTCTTCCCATATTTTATTCTGAGTTATTTTCTAATAAGATGGCGAAGACATCCAAGAGGTGATGCTCTTCATTACTCTTTTCTAAAATGTGTCTAAAATTTGTCTTTATAAATGATTGTTTCAGGATATGGGGTAAGGACATGAGGTCAGGATTTCCTTCATCCAAATCCAAACTGGTTATGAAGCCAGAGAACTAACCTACCCATGATTTTTGACATTAAACAAATCTGTAATTTACCCAACTTTAGTGTGATTTCCAGGTTGAAACTCATTTGGTCTGTGGTTGAAAAATTTTCTCTTTACTCTAGGGGAACTAGTAAATATACACTATGTTTTGGCATTTGCAGAGCTTTGTGGGGCAAATACAAGTAAAGGAGTCCATATCAGTCAGGAAACCTGATGGACAAATGATTAAGATCATATAAATGTGCAGTATTTTAACAGTAACTATTTTTTCGGAGTTAGTAAGCTAAAGTAGAAGCACAGAAAACATAACCTTTGCTTGGTCATTGGTATGCAAAGGTTTAAAACTATCAGCCATACTCGGTGCTTGTGTTCACGAGATAAAAAACTTTGACTGCTGTGAAATTGCACCAGTCTTCCTGTTGACCTGACATTTGTTCCTTCACTTTACATGGAAAACTTATTTAATTTTTTTGGGCATGAACATAAAGCTTGCAGGTTGACTTATTTATCTGTGTAAAGTACTCATCAGTTAATGACGTTGCACAGAGATGTTTGACTTAGCTGACACAGTTGAGCATTAAAAAAATGCAGTGGAAGGCTCTTTGGTCTAATGTTGATCCACTGGTTAGGAGAGTTGATTTTTATTGTACTTTTAATTTGTTGCGTATTAGAACAACAAAGTTAAAGCTCACTGGATCATTATTTAACTAATCTTTTTTCTGTGCATTTAGGAAAAGATTCAAGCTGTTCTATTAGATCTGCTTGCAACAGGTTTGACATTATAATCCCACTTAAGGGTGACAAAATGTTCAGCTGAAACAGTACTTCACCCAGCCTCTGAATAGGAAGAAACTGTAGGGAGAGGGTTGTGGGGTTTTTGTTTGTTGGTTTTTTTTCTTCTTTTGTTGGAAAGGTTGGTGTTTGATTAACAATACGATCTCTTCTGTTCTTCTTTCCTGATTAAGGACATGTTTCAATTTGAGGAGATGGTCCTTCATTTGATAAATGTTAGCATTTAAAGATCTGAAGATGTTTTAAACAGCCTTCTGTTAGTAAACATCACAGCGTTCTGACCTAGAGAATAGTTGCTTTTTTATAATTTATTATTTTACTGATTGCAAAAGTCTTCTCTCACAATATGTAGTTATTGGGTTTTCTTCTTCTTTAAGCTAGAGTCCTTCACAATATTTAGAGACATTTATGCAGAATAGCTAATCCAAATTCTGTCTAGCAATGTGTACTTTTTTTGCACCAGTTCTCAAAGCATCAAGGCAATGGAAAAGTATACATTTATCCAAATTTTGTATCTGGCACATATCACTATCGTGGGCAGGTATCTATAGAGACTTTACTATTTATATCAGATATTAAATAGATCACTACGCAGGACGTGTGTTACTGTATGTTCTTGATACAATGGACAAGAATGGGAATTGTAATTAGTGGGTTAGTCTAGTCTGTACTAGATAATTTCTTTAAAGAAAATGGCTCCTAAATCTACTGCCAAAGTAGAATAAAACAAAGGATAATACTTAGTTCCTTAAACCTGTCTAGTCTGGAGATGGATTCTTCCTTTCCCACATTTGAATTTTATTATGGGTGAGGCATTTCCTGTGGCTGCTTTGTAACATAGATCATGAGGAAATTATCAGCTAATGAGTAATCTAGATTTCTTTGAGCTGGCCTAAGTAACTGTCCAGCTGATGGCCACTGTCCTCTTATTTCATACTGACTTTTAAAAAGCTGGTGCAACCACATTGGCTAAAGTAATGTTTTGGAGTTATCAATCAAGGCAGAGCTGGCTATGCTGTATGAATTCCTCTGTATAGTGTAATGTGGATTAGATAACTTCATTTGACTCCTACTACTAAATATGTCAAATATCCAAACAGCACTTCTCACTTTTTTAAAAAAATGTTTTATGAGTATTTAAAATATTTTAGAAGTACATAGTCATGCTAATCTAATTGTCAAAGCTGCAGGGGTATAATTAGTTTCAGATGCTCCACAGTAATAAGCACTGACTGTGCTGTTATAAAAGTATTGTTCTGAGTTAACACACAGGAAACATTGACAGGACAGAAGCTTATTTTCCAAGCAAAGCCATCTTGAGAATATAAAAGAGAATGTGTGAGTCCATTTAACCCTGGAGTAAAGTGACTACTGGGGTAATTTGGAGACTTGGATCATGGGATATGAGAGCATGGGATACAGACACTGAGCTGTAGCTAATAAGCTCAGTTGCAGCTTAACTGACTTTTGTAGAGTCATTTCTGTGTGCTTGCACTGTGCTCTTCAGTGTCTGATTAGGGGGTGGCTAACATGGCACAACTGTAGTACCACATTAGATACTTATGTTATGATGGTCACTCTCTCACCTGAACAGATGCTTCCACAAAGCTGGCAAGCTTCTAGAGACATTTCTGAGTGGCTTTTCTGGAGTCAAGTCATGTCCAGTCAGGCTTACTGGTTGTGTCATCATACTTGTATGAGAAAGCATTAGAAGAACTGATTTTTGTTTCACAAAAGAGATGACACTTTTTTTTTTTTTTTTTATTTTAATTTAGTATGGCGGTAATTTATGACAGGTGTTTGGGGTATGCTTTTTTCTTTTTGCAACCAGTGTGCTTTAGGGTAATGGGGATGAACCAAGGATGACCTCATAGCAGTGGTATTGTAATTGGAAGCTGATATTTCTTCCTCTTGTGTGGATGTGGCTGCTTGAATAGCCAGAGGACTAATCTGGAGGCTGTAAAGGAGTGGTGGACATGAATCCCTTGCAAGACAGATGTTGAAGTCTTAGGGCAAGATGCTATTAGGAAAAAGAAGGGAAACCAGGAATACACTCATGTCCTCCCCCACATCCCTCTTCTGCCCTTCTAAGGTCCTTCCTGGTGTTTCTTTGCAGTCAGGACAGAGATGTAATCTGTGGCTGTCATTCCCAGTGAACGGTAGTTGTGCAGACTTGCTTCCCTGAGTGTGAGACAGGAGTGCCAGGTTGCTGTGAAGAACCTGCATCTGTTTGTGAATATGAGCTCATTTGTTTCGGTTAAGTAGGCCAAGCTGTTGTGGCTTAACCCCAGCCAGCAACTAAGCACCACGCAGCCGCTCACTCACTCCCCCCCCCACCCCGTGGGATGGGGGAGAAAATCGGGAAAAGAAGTAAAACTCGTGGGTTGAGTTAAGAATGGTTTAATAGAACAGAAAAGAAGAAACTAATTATGATAATGATAACACTAATAAAATGACAACAGTAGTAATAAAGGATTGGAATGTACAAATGATGCGCAGGGCAATTGCTCACCACCCGCCGACTGACACCCAGTTAGTCCCTGAGCGGCGATTCCCCACCCCCACTTCCCAGTTCCTGTACTAGATGCGATGTCCCATGGTATGGAATACACTGTTGGCCAGTTTGGGTCAGGTGCCCTGGCTGTGTCCTGTGCCAACTTCTTGTGCCCCTCCAGCTTTCTCACTGGCTGGGCATGAGAAGCTGAAAAATCCTTGACTGTAGTCTAAACACTACTGAGCAACAACTGAAAACATCAGCGTTATCAACATTCTTCACATACTGAACTCAAAACAGCACTGTACCAGCTACTAGGAAGACAGTTAACTATCCCAGCTGAAACCAGGACACAAGCTCACTCATAATATGCAACTGTCTGTACTAGGAGCACATATTCATGTTGGCTAGTCAGGTGTTACTGCTATCAAGAGAAAAAAGTCATGTAAATCACCATTAGGAAAAGAGCTCTGTGCTTTCTGTCTCTCTTAGTGTTTCTATGATAACGTACTGGGGCTCTAGAAGGGTAGCAGCTACTCACCTCAGAGCAGTTCCTTTGCTTTCCTATGGATGCCTTGCAATGTATCACCAAAGAAGAAAAAAAGTATCACATTATGTCTCATACCCACATTTTGATATTTGGCTCCAGGTGGTTTCTGCTGTAGCATCAACCTCTGCAGTTTCATTCCAAGCATGGTTTTGGTCAGGCTTTCTCTCTTATTGACTCCTTATCAGATGGAAATTTGTTGTCCTACAGATAGAGCTGCTGTTTGTATTTCCTTCTTTGACTTGCACAGGACTCCATTGCTTCTACTTCCTTCAGAGGACAATAGACAGTAGTGTATTATGTTCCACTTTATTTGGACTTCTAATGTGCTGCTGTGCAGGTGTGATTGGGTGGGTCCTAGAATAGATGTGTCTTTGCATTTGATGCTGGACTGAGATGCAAGTTAACTGGGGGAGTTTGACAAGACATGTTCAGTGTAGTTGAGAACATCTCATTTTTATGCCTGTTGACTTGCATTTGTCTTTTCTAAAAGCAAAAAATATCTTGCTGTCTCAAGTTTACTATATGATCAACTCTCCATACAGTTCCTTGGACTTAAGCTGTAATATGGTGTCTTCAGAGTAAGTGTGCAAACAAGGAGTACTGAGATGCAAGGTGTAACAGAAGTGATTTAGGGTGATGTTAAGGACAGTTCTAGTGCAGTTTCTGAGGGCTGTACTTTTCCACCTCAATATTAGCATTGAAAATGGGAGCTTACAGCATGTTTTTTGTGTTTTGTGTCTTAGGACTGGTGGATATATGTCTGCCAGACGCTTTCCTCTTCATTTCTATCCTCTGCACTGTCTTGCAAAGGAGCAAAACAGTCCTAAATTGATTTTCATGTCAGTGGTATGAGAAAGTGATGCTTACTGTGCAGTGCGGGGCAGCAAGATCTATATGCAAGTTAGACCACAACAAGCATTATTCCTTCAAAAGGGAGCTGGGACTGCCTTGTTGAACAAATACAGAAACTGCAACAAGGGAACAGCTTGCATCCATGAAAGGGAGCAGCCATAGGCACGGCATGAGACTGTTTTGAAGGTTTGACTAACTCGGCTAAGAGGCTGTAAAGTGAGATGCGTCATTAAGAAAAAGGGGCTAGCTACTCAAAGTGCTTCTCTTGGGCATAAGAAAACTTGATCAAGGAAGTTGTATAACCTTCAGAAGAATGGATGGGGAACTTGGATTGGGAGCTGTATGATTGCTCTTTGGCCAGCTGGCATGGAGGCAAAACATCTGGCTTTAAGCAGTTTTATTTCAGGGCTTCTGAGTGGCTAGTCAGTGAGGACACAGGCTTTGGACTTTTATAGAAATAAGTAAAATAATAGCAGAAGTCTATTCAGGTTAACACAACATCTCTTTTGCTATTACACTTTAACAATGCATGTAGATGCATTCTACATGCTTTCTAAAAATAAAATTAAATATATGTATTTTTGAAGTCCATTTAAGTTGCTGCTTGGTTATATTTCAAAATGAAAAATGTATGCCTCTAATTGTTCTGTCCATATCTGCTTTTGAGTGTGCTACATACATGAATATTGGCAGATTTCAGCTATATACTGAGGTGGATGAAAACTTACATTTTATTCTTAAGTATGGTTTATTTGAAAAATAAATACACTTGATGTGTAACTGCCTTTAATGTCTGTTTCCTTTGAGAATGAGGATTAAATATTTTCTTTATCTTTCAATAGGAGGATGTATCTGGCTGGCTGGCACCAGGAGAAGGGTACACACCTGAACCGATGGAATTTCATCACCTAAATGAGATAGACATTAAGCTTCAAGTACTACTATCTGATGGGGATTTTTCTGCGATTTCCAGCTCTTGCTCAAAACTTCCAAGCCAGATTTATCAGGTATATTACACAACAGAGCTTATGTTGCAGATTTCTTGTTTGAAGTGTGTGTTGAGATCCGATATAAATGAAAATACAGCATGTGTCTGTACTTGGGGTTTTTTAAATTTTTCTTTAGTATCTTCTATTTGTTCTTGAAGTATATGTGTTAAAGAATGAAGTGAAATCTTTGGCTACAGAAATTATATAGAAAAATAATATGTTGCTATTTTGAGTGGTATATAATTCAAGGACTGTCTTGTTTTTAACGCTTTTTGATTCCACAATTTCAACAAGAAATTTAGTATGCAGGAATTGGTAACTCAGATGTTTTTAACTGCGTGAGGGCCTCAGTGGTTTTGTCAGAACAGTAACACATTACCCATGGTAATTCATCTTTGGGAATTAGAATTAGGTTTCTTCTTATCTCAGGATTCCAGAAGTGCCTCTTTGCTTATGATTGGAAAGATAAAGCAATTACTGATAAGCAATGTTAATGACTGTAGAAAACGGATTGAAATTGTATGTCCCTTGTTTTTAATGGCCTTTGTCTTTTTCCATTTTTAGCAGTATTCAGAATGTTTGGGGTCTCAGCCTTGAGAAATGTTTGACTTTTGTGCATAGAAGACTCCAATTTATCCCATGCCCCAGTAATGTTGCCCCTGATATAATGGGGGAAATACAAGATAAAAATGCCATAATTCCTATTTTGCACTGATTTGCACAAAACTTGTTTACTTTTGTAAAATTTGCAGTTTATAGCCAGAACAGGTGTATCAGAGGCTCTGTAAGAGTGTATGTTGGCAAAACTGTTTTCAGTTACCAGTGTATGAGAAGCATCTCTTTGAACAGTTAAAATACCTGTGGGGTGGTGGTTTTGTTTTTTTTTTTTTTATTTTTCTAAAGGCACTTTAATGTCCTATTTTGTATTGACTTGTTCCTGAACTTCAGGTTTTGTTTTACCTATAGTAGTCTTTTCTGTTGCTCTGGCAGTTCCAGAAGAGTCACATTTTGAGGTTGATTATTTACCAACTGGGATTTAATGTGTGAAACAGCAACTCCCTCTAGTGGGTAATCCCTTACTCAAATGCAGTTGTTGCCCAGTAACTTCGGGTTCATGGACCTGAGCTTGCCGATGATTGCTGGATCTTGTGTTCACTGTTATGAGACATCAGCTTGAAGTTAGTGCGACTGCCTGTGATAATGAACACTCTGTTTGGGAACTTTTGTCCTAGTGGTTGTTGTTGCTTCCTTTTCACGTAAAAGCTCAGAATTATTTGAATAGAAACTTGAATTTATGTGTATGCTTATTAAAGAGTAATGCATTATCTATTTGAATAATATTAAACTTAACAACCCAAAAGAGATAGCTAATTTCATAAATTACCTTTCATTAGTGAAAAGCAGTTGCCCTTCAACTTTATTTTGCAACATATAAAAGGCTTTTAAACATTGTAGTTCTGGGAAACACAGGATTCCATTTGTCCTTGTTGTTTTTGTTGTTCAGATAAACTTAAACATATGAGTCATTTTAAGGAAAGATACCAAAGAATAGGACTATTAAAAGTTGGTTTTATAAATTTAGAGAAAGAGCTAAACAGAATACATATAAGTTGAAGTGAGTAGGAGACTTTAGTTATTTAAAACTGGATTTAGAAGGACAGTAATTATGTATAAGTGCAAAACTAATTTAAAAAAAACCCAACAGAACAAACAATAAAAGTAAACCCTCTCACTCTGCAGCTATCTAATTACAGAAGTGTCTTGATTTTCAGATCTGTTCCCTGTTAACTCCAAATTCCTGTAGGTGCCTTCATTCCTGCTTCTTTGCATGTCCAGAGCTGCTTCTCTCAGCAGAGGACAGGGTGTCTAATGGTTGCCTTGGTTTCATAGTGATCCAGACTTTAGGCAAGCCAGTGTTAAGTTCTTCATGGAGCCTGATTTCATAGGTGCAGTCTGATTGTACCTGGCACTGTGACAGGACTGGGCTTGTTTACATAGAATTTCAGCTGCCCTTTTTTTTTTTTTTTTTTATGGTAAGTGAAGGAGAAAATGACTTCAGGAACCTGACTGCTTACTGTGGAAGCCTCGTACCACGTTTAGCCTTTAGTCCTGTGTTCTGTGTTATGGTTATTTTTGTTTTAGTAGGTAAAAAAAAATCACTCTTCAATTCATACATAGCAATAACAACAGGTCAAGTTCTGAATTTGGTTAAGCTGTGAGTTCATTCTCAACACCTTTTGTTTTCAAATTCCTTTAACAGTTGCTTTTTCAAAAAAACAGGAAGTAACATGCAGCAGTAGCTGAGAAATTAATGACTATTTTGAGTTTAGAGACCTTCCTGTCAAAAGGCAAAAGAAAGATTGTTTTTGGGGGGGTTTTTTGGTGGTGGTTTTTTTTGTTGTTTGTTTGGTGTTTTTTGTTTTTGTTTTTTTTTTACAAGTAGTTCATTGCTGCTCATGGTCTTTTTAAAACAGCCTTGTTTATCACAATCAATATCCCCTAATATTGTCATAAACTGGAAGTTTTAATGGATTTGCTTTTTCAAAAAACTTGTTATTATTCTTGAAGCATTAGTTCTGATATCAGAAAAATAGGTCAGTCACAGAAAAATATCAGAATTCTTTGTACTGAATGTCTTTTGGAACCTGATCAAAGGCAACTGATACCTACCGAGAAAGGGTCTGAGAAATTAATTGAATGGTGCTTTTGCTAAAAGAAGATCTTGCTTTGTGATATGTTAGCATGAAAGACACATGCAAGACAAAGGCAGTAAGAGTTCTGGTTGTCTGCCCCTTGTTGGGTTTAATGTCAAGTGTTTAATGACAAGATTTTCAATTGCTTCTTCAGTTGACCACAGCAACTAAATGAGGAAGTAAACTAGCTATCAGCACTGGAAGGCTGCTGTCTTCTGTAAAACCAGTTAGAAGTGGAACACATTTAATTTACTAATAGGGTGAATTAAATATGCAGGAATTACCTTATTTATTCACCCTCACACATATTCTCTAAACATTGTGGGAGAAAATATTTGTTGGTGAGACTGGGGGTCTGTAGTATTCAAAACTGATAGTGATAATCTGGTATTGTTGAAGTCTCAGGTAAGTTTCTATTGATCTCTTTTATTCAGTTTCAGTTTAGGTTGTATCACTACTTCTCCTATAACTGAGGTAAATTCTGCAAACTTAATTGCTAGATAAAGATGTTTGCACAGATGCTATGGAATGCAAATTTGAATGCATTGCAATATTTATTTCTTAGGAGTTTGTTTTTTTTAAAGTTTGGGGTTTTTTTTAATTAAGGTACCAAGAGAGGGCTAAAAAAAATCCTGAATGTACAGAATTTATTTTGAATGAGGCTAGTTGTTATGGGACACAAGTCTGTTTTGGAACATGGATGTCCTTTCCTTTGGAGAAGAGGCTGATTTCAGTGACATTAATCATTCTTCTAAAAATCAGTGCTGAAATTCTTTCTGATTTCCATGAGATGTGGATTTCATCTGTTGTGGTTGAGTAGGATATAATGCAGTAGTGATGGGGAACATTGCAAAAAAATTGTTCGTGTAGTGCTTGGATTTTCATTTAGAATTTTAGAAGTAATTAAACCAAAATTAGCTTAGAATTGCATATCATAAAGCTGCACATTGTTTTCTTCCAAGAATTGCATTAAATATAACTTTCAAAATGCAAACACTTGATCACCGCTGGCTCAATGGGAGAGCTGCTTTCTGCCACTGGTAGATACTTTGGCACGATATAGGATCAATGCTCTGACTCTGAAATCTGTAACAACTGGCTTTAATTATCCTACAGTACCATAGCTGAGCTGCTCTCATCAAAACTGTATTTCTCCCCAAAACATGTCTTTGTTCTGGTGCCAACATCATTAAATATTTAAAAATGCGTCTGTCTTACTTCATAGTTTGGGGGAAGAACAAATTAAGTTGAAGGTAATCCTGGAAGAGACAGTAGAATGAAGAATATGAAGTGTAAGACTGTGTGTGATGAGTACAGTTACCAGCTTGAAAAACTGGAAAACTACCTGAAAATAAAAGGAAATGGAGACAGTGTTTAAAGAAACAATAGTATCTGTCTGCTTGATTGTCTTATAATTACTTTAATGTTGTGTATTACCTTGATGAGTTTTTTCATACCTGATTTGGTTTCTTTTATCAGAAAAATATTCCATTTTTCAATTATAGCAGTAGACTATGGTTAACAGTTTAAAACTAAATAAATACTCAATGACAAAAAATTCTGAACATATACACTAATCTTTCAATTAATGAACTCTGATAGCCTATACTCTATGGCTGCACTTCACCAAAACAGATGATTTTGACAGGTATCTCTGTTATCTCTATTTCAGGGCATGGTTAGAAGCAGGTTAATAGGCTGATCAGCCAGTTTTGTGGCTCAACAAGATTGTATGACACTAATATCTTTCATTAGGTGGGATTTTGTTTTTATTTATTTATAAAATTTTGGAGAAAAAGGAGTGCAACAAGTCATTTTCACCATTTCAAATACTGGATATTTCTGTTTTGCATTATGATTGTTACAGCTGTGGCTGTTGCAAAGTACTTATATTTTCCCTTGTGTAACATATTTAACAGTTTTATTTTCTACCTTATCTTTAAGATTTTTAGATCTTTATTAATCTCAAGTGGACTTCCACGACCTACACATGCTATATAATTGAAACATAAAAAGTTTTGAAGCGCTTGAAAGATTGAGAATAAAATGTTTTCCGTGGTGTAATACTTCCTACCCTTATTTCACGATATCTTGAGAAAAATATTAAAAAAATCAGTAAGTGGGGAAAAGTCTTAACTTTACTCATATGGTTCTGATGAGTTACTATTCAGGGATGAAAGAAACGAGACTATAAGAACCACTTCAGTGAAAGCAGCAGCTTAATGTTCCATAGTGGTCAGATATCAAATAGATTATTAGGAACAATGTGAAAGGAATACAGAATGAAACAGAATATATCACTGTGCTGCTGTACACATCTGTAGTGCACCATATAGCTTGACTATTGTGCAGTTGTGGTCCCTGGATCTCATAACCAGTACAGGAAAAAATGGAAAACTGGTTACCAGAATGCTCAGAAGTATAGAATGGCTTTTATGCAAGGAGTGACTTAAACAGAGACATTCTTCAGTTTGGAAAAAAGGAGTAAGAGGGAATGTGATTGAAGTGTGCAAAACTATGCTGATGAGAGAGAGAGTAAATAGTAACAATTTTTTTTTTTCACCATCTCTTCTAAATAGAATTATATCAGTTGTGGCTGTTGATGTTGGAGACATGTTGAAACAAGTACTTTTTAATTCTGTTTTCTGGTAAATGTTCATAGTTCAAGTTTTATCCAGCACTCTCTGATAAAAATTGATTAGGTATCATGGCAGAGATCAGTATTCAAGAAAAGTTTATGGAGAATAAAGTTGTCATGTTTATCCTAGTTAAGCATTTCTTTTGATAGAACGATATTGCATTACTAGAGAAGCAACCAGGCTTAAAATCATACTGAGTGTGATAAAAGGAAAAATAACTTATGATACATAGGTTTTTTCTAAAGTTTGAAGGGGTTGCTCGTAAGTGCTTGCAGCAGCTGAGCTGTCTGTAAAATGAAACATTTATGCATGAAACTTTGAAAGACTAGGACAGAGATGTGCATAAAGCTTTGCTTCAGAAGTGTATGTGGAAAAGACAGTAAAAAATTTGAAAGTAGTAACTTTTTTGATCTTATGACTCCTCTTACTGTCACCTTTTTAAATCTAGCTGGTATTGCAGCAACAATATTCAGAGATGCTGTTGGCAGTTTGAGTTCTATTCTTCATTGAAGGCTGAGTTCATATAAAAATATCAACCAGTAGTCCATGCATATAACCCCCCAAATAAAATACTGGGAAGTATAATATAGTATTTAGTGACTTCTCAGTACCACTCGTTGCATGTTCTTATGGGTATCTTCATAACATTGCTTTTTAAAACAAATCATAACTGCAGCTTTGATCCATGCTGAGCACTAACTGCTCACATGACAATGTCTCTATATATGCACAGATCAAAAGACTGGGTTTAGAAATGTGATTGCAGAAATAGCTGTAACTTTTTTTTTTTAAGAAAAAAAAATATGATGCCATCATCTTCCTCTCTGCCCTTCCATGAACAATTTCACTTGTATTAAAATCAGTGGAAGAACAAAGCCATGTAAAAGTAATTCCTCTTACTAGAGGGAGCATGAGTTGTTATACTTTGAGCTGCTTTGCCAGCTCTGTATTTATACTGCAGGTATAAAGGTCATATCCTTGTTTCATGTATTAATAAACACAAGTTTAAATAAGTCCTTTGGGTTTTTATGTTCTGTATAGATGTCAGTCATGCAGATTTCTTGCCACTGGGGATCATATTTAATTAAAAAAACTCTCTCAGTATTTAGAGGCCTAGATTTAGACACTCAGTATTAAGAATTTGGCTTTAAGTGGCCCACATTAAACTTCAATCCAGTTTGGAGAGATTGTAGTCATTAACAGATGGTATGGTTTATATCTCTGTTATAGGAAAAATTACTAGCATGTGGTACTGCCAACTATTGCTGATTGTAAATATATGTCCAAAGATTTGTACTGTGTTAAAATGAGTTTATTTTCAGGCAACTAATAGTTTGGTTTAAATGTCAGAACTCATAGATTTGTCTGAAGTTCAGAAAAAGTTGTTTACAGATGCTCACAATTTTTTTTTTATGTTATAGTTGAGAAATTTTTCGTTGAATGTTAAATTGCAAAGGTTGTTTTTCTTCTAATTAGACACACTACTTGAAATTCTTTTCCTTGTGTGTGTTTATTAAGATTGCTTGAGCTACTTCTGAACATAAGAATGAATAGAATATGTTTTTATTAAAGGGTTGCTCATGTCCCTTTGGGTTGAATTGACTAACAGGGTTTTTTTCCCCTCTACCATTATATGAATTCCTTGGGTTGTTCTGTAGGATCTTTGGCTTGCAAGAGAAAGCCCTGTTTTCTTCCCAGTTACAACATAACTTTGCTGTTTTGCCAATACTTGTCATTCTTAATGATCTCAATTACATGCAATATTGAACCTCAAATGTATTTAGGACTGATACAAACTTAAGAATCTGATCCAAAGCTAGTGAAGGATGTGAGAGTGTGTAACCCAACTCTTCAATAATGGTAGTGCATCTAACTCCAACTTACAGAAAGAGGGTTATTTCTCATTTACCATGATATCAAGTAAACAAAAACCTACAGTCATTTCAGTTCAGTTCTTCCTTTACCTTCTGGCCTAATTCTAATCCCAGTATGGTTAATAGGAGCAAGCTTTGAACCCCTCATTCAGTCTCCCAAATTCTCAGTGCATTTTTATTGTTGTACTAGAATTTAAACATCAAAGTGTTAGCTCTGCAGACTAAGAAATTCCTATTAATATATGAAGGGGAAGAATTCTTTTATTGAAATAAGTCCAGCCTGATGTTTAGCTATTATATTTGAAAATGTGCATAACAAAAATTATGCATTTGCCAAATTTGAAATTGACACATTATTATAAACATTTCAATGCTTTCCTGATAGAAATCCAGAGAACCCTTGTCTGGCTTTGAAGCAATATAAAATCATGTGTTTAATTTCTGCCTATTCTTCCTTTTGCCAGGAGTCTCTGGTTTATGCAAACAGAAGCCTAGAAGCAGTTCCAGGTGAAAAGGTTCTGCGAGACAACAAGGAACAACGTGATCAACAAAGTCGTCTCAAAGAAATAGATCATCAGCTGAAATCCTTTGAGAGAAACCTTGTAAGTCTTCCATTTTTGTCCTATTTTTTTTCCCTCAGATTGAAAACTTTGGAATTTATCATCCCCTGTGTCTTAAAGTAAAATAAAATTCTGCAACTTTGTGCAAATTCCTGAAGGAATCACCAAAGAAATATACAAGCAAAAATCTCAAATAATATTTCTTAATCTCGGAAACATGTTTTTCAGTTGTAATGCATGTTTCCCATTAACATAGTGTCTTTCAAAGTGAAAGAAATTATTCTCCTCTCCTCTTCTCCTCTCCTATCTTCCCAGAGGGGCATAGCATAAACAATCACATATAAATATATCCTAAAAGGATTTTTTTGTGGCTCATGTAATTCAGTGTTCTTTGAAGGACCAAGTCTGGTGGGAATGTCGTATACACCAAGTTATTGTGTGATTTAGTTTTGCTGAATTCATTTAGTGTATTTTTGTAACTTAATTTTCAATTAATACGTGAATTTCGTAGGTGCAAGGGCCTTTAAAATAGGAGCATGTAAGTAAAATGGTAGTAAAAAAATCATTACTGTTTTAGCATAAGCACATCACATCTCATCATTATTACTACTTTGAGTAAAAGCAGGTAGGGAAAAGGCAATCTGAAATCCAAGAGGATCCTATTGTTAACCTAGTAGGCAGAAATTACATTTATTTCTAAGCTATAGAGCCAGGAGTGCAAACCAGAACTTATGTGCCTCTCTCAAGTAATATATTGCTATTCTTTTCTCTTTCAGTGAGTATAATTTATTACATTACTCTCAAGTTATAATAAGGATATTTAACAAAAACTAGAGACGGGGAACCTCAAGGACTTAGGAATTTTTTTGTTCATTTTTAAATATACATTGTAAATGTGCTGTTTGATCTGTGCTGAAAGAGCTACAAAGCAGCCCATACAGAAGAGAATTAGGAAGAATATACATAAAACATTAAAAAACAGATGAATACAAAGGGAGAGTCCTAAGATGATACAGTTGTCATTTGTTTGGCCCGAAAGCCAATGTTGGTATTTGTTTTGTATTGGATCTCTCACAGATCTTAAGAGCACAGGAATAAAATACCTTTCCTTTTTTTTTTTTTTTAATACCTTCGTATAAAACTCTGAAGGTTTGCCTTGCCCAGGTGAAGTCAAGAATGACACTGCTGAAGACTCAAAAAAGCATTACTGCATTACTGAGCTGGCAGTAGCGGCTAAAACCTGGATATATATGCATATTTTTAAGATTTTAACATCTTTGTTTAGTGTTATTTTTCTGATTTGAGATGAGAAAACTTTTGTTTCTCCGTAGAATGTGCTATGTGGAGAAGATAAATTAGTATGGTAGTGTACGAGAGACTGAGGTGAGGTGACAGCTGGTATGGGTAACCTGGTGAAGCTGGATTTTTCTAGGAAACCCCAAGTATTTTGGTACATTAGCAAGAGGCATCAGTATAGATAATTGACATAAGAGGTGTGCAAATGAAGAATGTGGTGACTGGGAATATTGAGCATGGATTTACAGAGGGTAAGTCATGCTTAACCAACCTGACAGCCACCTTTGATGAAATGACTAGGTGTGCTCTGTAAGCTGGAGAGCAAGGCTGCCACTCACTGGGAGTTAGGCTGGAGGAGTGGGCTGACAGGAACTGTATGAAATTTGTGAAGGACAAACGCGGAGCTCTGCATTAGAGAGGAGTAACTCTAATGGTGCAAGGTGGAGCCTGGCTGGCCAGGGAGCAGCACTGCTGAAAAGGGCCTGGCATCATTGTGGACAATAGACTACACATGAGCCAGCAGTGTGCCCTGCAGTGATGAAGGTTAACAGCATACTTGGCTGTATCAACATGAGCATAGCCAATAGATTAAGGGAAGTAATTACTCCCCTTTACCTGGTACTCATTAGATTGTGTCTAGAGTGTTGCACCCGGGAAAAAACCCCCAAAACTTCCAAGGGTAATTAAGAATGGGAAGCAGGTTGCACGGAGAGACTGTGAAATCTCTGCCCTTGAAAATTTTGCAGACCTGGCTGGACAAATCCATAAGGCATTTGATCTGATCTCGTAGCTGATGCTGCTTTGAACAGGTTGGACTAGAGATCTCCTCACATCCCCTCCCCAGTCTGATGATTTTTTGGTTGTACAAGGAAAAGGATCAAGAATTTTTATACATTTCTCAGGTAGTAATCTTCTTTATTATTGCTACATTAAAGGAAAAATAGTAGTTTTTCATGGCTGTACGTTGTAGATTTTTTTCTTGTGTGTAGCTGATTTTAGTGTTTTTCATGTAGTCATAAAAACATTAATATATACATTTGTTGCGTCAGACCAAAAATCCATGTAGTCTACGTTTGGCTTGCGGAAGTCTTCAAGTCAGCAGTAGGCTTATCTTCTGCAATAATCAGAGTTAGGACAAATACTGTTCCAGTTATCTTTTATCACCCTCAAAAAGGGATCTCCAATGCAGATCAAAAGCTTTGTGATTCAGGTAGCAGCATAACCTCAGTGGTATAATCTCAATTACTGATAGCACTGTCACTACAGTTGCAAGAACTTCAGCCACTATCCACATATGCAGGGTTTATGCTGGCAGTGCTGGAACTGCACAGCCAATATGATTAGACTTCTAGCAGGTTTAAAGCTAATTGGACTGCATGTAGTTGTATCCAAGTCTTTGGTTTGGGGGAAGAAAAAAAGAGGCTAATTGACACGTTCTTCCTGATGTCAGTTAATTTTACATACTGACGGAATATGGGAACAAAGACTTCAGACAAGGAGACAGTGATTGCTTTAGAGGCTGTTCACTTTTGTGTGTTTGTGTCACTACAGTAAGGCAGCATATTTAGCTCTTATCTGTTCACAGTACCAAAACAATAGTAGACCTTCATTTTAATACACTGCTCTATTATGTTAGACAATTAAAAGATGGGAGGCAAATAACTGGAGGAATTCTGTGGAACTTCAGTATATTGAATAGGGTAATGGGTAAACAGATAAAGTAAGTATGTGCATTGTCATCTTTTCCTAGTCATTGACCTTTATATCACTTTTTGTCACTACTGACCTTGTTCATGAGGCACCCACAATATGAGGAAGTGCGTCTGGGAACTGTGTGATAGTCTGCAGCAGGCCTGGGAAATGCAGGGGGCTGCTGACTCATTCCGATGTTTTGTGTACAAATGGGTCAGTTCCAAGTCTTGGTTGGGTTATAGCAGTATTGTCTGGTATCACGTTACATGCAGACTCTTGCAACATACCACACATTTTTCCTTGGCTAGATTGTGTGTATTTAGAACTCTAAATCGATAGACTGTAACGTTAATTTACAGTGTTTATAAACAAAGAATATGTCGTCTGTACCAGTGTGTAACTCATGGCCAGACTAGTGTTGCCGTGTGCTATGCAGCACCTGGTAAGGCTTCTTCAGGGGGACATACTGTGTTGTCTTATCCATTGCTGCTCTGTGGCACAACTCTGAGATGACGGCACATGGATATGAAATATTTGTGTGTTAGGTCTTATGCGAGATACTTTGGTTGCCAGTGTAAATAAAGAAGTATTCAGGTCTGAATGAAAGGAGGTTTTTCCTTCTAACAGTCAAGTAAAATATATAGAAAATGCACACTTTTTTGTGTGAACAAAGAACAGTTTTCAGAAAGTACTGGGGTTTTTTAGTTTTGTGTCCTTGATAACTTCTATTCTTATTTCCGGAAAATATGGTTATTACTAGAGAAGATTGGACAAAACAGCATGGTATCACCTTCTGATGCAACATAGATAATTCAATAAAATTTTTCTTATTGGTGTGGGAATGTCTAAAAATCAGATAACTCTTATGCAGTGTGGATTGGGTGCCTTGTTTCTATATGAAACAAGTATAGTATTTTGGCCATCAATTCTGTAACAATGTTAGCAACAAAACTGCTCTCTGCCAGGAAACTGTGTGATGAAAACCTAAACTGAATGCTTGGGCTGAGGGGAGGGAGTATGTGGATGGCATGTTTCCAGAATAATTTAATTATTTCGGGAAATACTGTTTGTTATTCAATAGGTGGCACTCTTCACTATATGTTAGAGGAAGAATGCCTAGGCATGGTTCTAGGGGATATTATTACTGGTGAAAACGTCATTTCTGTGGTATAAAATACAGGTTGTGAGAGATTGCCTCTCACTTTTGGCAAGATTCCAGGTGTGCAGCTTTTAAGGTTCAGTTATTTTTCTAGCTTAGCTAATTAAATTGTCTATTTAAAATTCACATTGCATTTAAATTTCTTCTTTACTCTTTCCTAAACCACTGTAATTCACTGCGTAAAATTGAAAATAAATTCAGTGCTCTGAGTAGAGGAGGTGATTTGTCAGCAGTTAGGAATGTTATTTCTGAATGTGTGGTTATACTGGGCTTTATAATTTTAAAATATAGTATTTTACAAACTTAGTGTCTGAGATGTCTTTCTAAAATGTATTTCAAAAAGATCCCTCAGATAAAATCTTTTCTTATTGTTATTGTTGTTTCTTTTGTTTGTTTTTGTTTCCGAAGTGGAAGTTACACATAGTTTAACTAAGCAGAATTTATCTCTGTGTGTTAGGGAGTAACTTACAGTAGGTGTAAAGGTAACTTATTAATATTATTTTTTTCCTGTGTGGTAGAATGCTGTAGTTCTTCCACTACTGCAAAATTAATTATTCAAATTTGATTTGTATAATGGTAGCTTTACTCTGACCTTCTCTTCAAGGGGGAGGAGTACATTCATCATGTTTCTGGAGCAGTCTATTTAGTATGTGCTGTCTTCTGAAATTTTAACATTTATGGATTCCTCCACTACACTGTAGCTCATGTGTGCTGTGAGACTTCATGGTTTCAGCCAAGTCTGGAACTGAGCACACAAAACCAGGCTGGAAGATATGACTTTAGTGTAGTTTACAATTGATATAAAAACCAGAAAATCTGCTAAGTATTATGCTAGAAGTAATGAAACTAAGGGCTTTGGAATCTGAGTTCCTCCTTTATTTTGAAAAAATTGTCC